AAATTGGGATTTGCAAAGATGGAGCAAAGTCGGATCTTCCGTTCTCTTTCTGTGAAGTAAAATATTTTTTTTGAAATTTTGACTTTTTGTGGGAGAAGTACCAGAAGGAGTGGACCGATATTGCCCATCTCCAAACTCGATCGAAGTTTCACAATAAAATTACAATGTACCAAGTTTGGACCAAATCGGGTACTACCTTCGTGCGCACCAGCCAGCCAGACAGACAGACGGATGGACGGAGGGAAATCGCTATATCGACTCCATGTCAAACCAAGGGCCTAAAAGTTTCGCCTTTTTGGCCATATCAAATAAAATATACCCTCTGTAGCCTTATGACTAAGGATATAAAAACCATAAAGTGAGCGAGACCTACCTCACGCACATTGTAACTTTTTTTCTAAAAATTATCACATATGTCGAAAGTGAAGGAAGTAGTCGATATCGTGCCAACCTGGCACGTTGCAATGTGCCAGGTCATATTTTTTTTGGGTTCGATACGAAATGGACAATATTGGCCCATTCCTTCGGAAGCTACTCCATAGAGGGTCAATAGTGTGAATAGCCAAAAAATTCATTTAAATAATCGAATATTGCCTGAGATTATACATCTGTCGGCAAAACCGACAGATACTTAACTTGTTAATATAAAATTTCACCTCATTACAATGTGGAATATTTTGCCTGTATCGAACTATGTTATTTTATTGTCCAATGATTTACAATCCGATAAATATTTCTCGTATTATTTAATATTTTTATAATTTCCTCGATAGTATAGCGGCTAGTAACTCCAGCTAGTCTTATGAAATTATATTGCATTTTTAACTCATTCCACTCCTAATTTTTGAGTAAAGCGATTTCGAGCGTTTTTAGTAATAAAGATAAAAAACATTTGGGTAAAACTCAATTTGACATTATCAGCAAACTATGACTAACTACATACATAATTGTCATAGTATGTATGTACAGACATATGTATATGTTGTACTATTACAAAACTTACCATGAATTGAAGACATGAGCCCATACGTAAATAAAGACTAGTACGATAAACTGCTGCGACTGGGCTGCGGCTGTTAACGTCTGAGTGTCTGGCTGGCTGCGGCAGAAAAAAGGGTATTATCGAAGACTTCGTCCGGTGAATAACAAATGAAACCCAAAGACAATGGCTTGGTTGATGGCAATGGACGACAACAGATGATTGGCCAAACAACAAATGCAACAATTGTTGAATAATATTTAAAATAAAATATTTTTAGAATCGTGTTTGCCTTTTTGTGTTGATTGTTTTGTTTTTTCACTTTATTTGGTTTTTTTTTATAAATTTGCTATTTTTCAGTCTCTGTGTTTGATACTACAACCAATGTTGTGGGGGAAAATTAGATTTGATGTTTGTCCAAAATGTTTTTCTTTTGTCCATTAATTTTTCACTTTTTCTCTCTCTCTTTGTTTCTCTGGTCTTTGCGTAGTTTATACTGCGAATGATGGAGGACAGCTGTTTTTCGGTTAAATTCAATGCCAAAAATTCATGTGATTTTGTTTTATGGTAAAAAATATATGACGTCTATACGTTTTGGTCGTTTTACTTTTTTGTTTTTTGTTGCTTTCCTTCGCTTTGTTGGGAGGGAGCACGATATGAAATGAATTTGATTTTCAATTTTTATTTTTTAGTTTACATTTTAATAATTATAATGAAATATGTGGGCTTCTTTATGCGGGAAAGGGATAATTATTTTGTTTAATTAGTTCTTAATTATATTTTCCTTTGTTTTCTTTTTAACGATATTTGCCTTTAACACAATTTAATAATCTTTGCATTTCTTTGTTGCCGTTGCGTTTTACAAAGAGACTTTGAAACATTTGAGGGATTCACTGAGTTGTATATTAGCCCAGTTCTTGTCTTTTTTTCTGTTTCTCGTGTTTTGGTTTGTTTGTTTCTCAATTGTATTTTGAATGTGCTCACTAAATTCTCTTCATAATACAATTTTCCTCTCTCTCTCTCTCGGTGTGTGTTTTGCTTGTGCTCTCAATTGAGTATAGTCGTTATGATGTGACTTGATGTTGATGTTGTTGGTGGTGGTAGTATTTTTGTTTATATTTCAGTTCCGTTGTGTGTTGTATTGGTTATATTGCTTCCTTGTTGTAGTTGTTGTTGCCGTTTCTGTTATCTTCTCTACCAGTGAGTAAGTACTTGAAGATGTGTCTATGACTGGGTCTATTTTCAGCTGTTTTGCAACGCACGCTATGTTGTGTTTTTTATTTATGTTATTTAGTTTCAATGGACTCTTTTATCCATTACTCATTCGTTTGATGGATTGTTACTAGGGAGACTGGTTCTCTCTCTCTCTCTCTCTAAGTCACTCGGTATCTCTCTTTAGCCACAGAAAGGAAGGTTTATTGCTGTCTACCGCCGTTGCAAAAATGCCAATGACTTGTTCAATTATTTGTTTATTTTTGTAGCTGTTTTTGTTCGTATATTAACTTTTAGATTTCAGTATTTATTTTTATAATTATAGCTTATTAAAATAGTAAGGCCTTATGGTTGAGACTGCTACTGGGAATTGATTTAGTTTAATATATTTGTGCGTTTTATATTTCTTATTTTTTTGTTAATATTTTTGCAAATTTTTCTACGTTACTTCAGGGGGGTAACTTTTCTTCGTATGCTTCTCCACTTCTCTATACAGCCATACAGGATTATTTGATAACTTAGTAACGTGTTAGGGTTTTCCTCTCCCAGACCGGAGGTGGGGTGCCAATACACACAATATTTTTATTTTATTGGATAATGCTCCACACGTTTATTGCCAATCTAATTGGACCAAATTCTGTTTTGCCAAGAAAAAACAAGTTTTGTTTTTATCTTTTTTTTTCGAATTTACTCAATAAATTAAAATTGCATTAAATATAATTTATTTATTTTTTTTTTTTTAATTTTGCTTCGACAATTCGTTAATGTTTTATCCGCGTTTTGTATTTGCTGCAAAGTGAGAATAACACTGAACTGAATTGAAATTCTTGAGAATGCGTTTACTCCAAAAAAAGCTTGTGCGCTACGCAAGTTAAGCGACAAGAAAGCTTTCGGGTTTTTTTTATGGAACACACAAGCAAGGCGTATTGTTGGGGTGGCCGCATTGTCGGCACGTGAAACCAAGTGTCAAAGTACACATACTACAGTGTGGTCTTGTTTATCGCAATTCGCATTGGTAAAATAACGGAAAATTTGCAAAGAGGATACAATGAATTCCATTGACATTGTACCTCAGAGAGTATACACCCACCCATGGTTGAAGAAAACAGGACACCGCTGCTGCGACAATGAACTGTCAAACCAATTTTAGAATGGAAAATTTTGAATGAACAATTATTTAAATTTGTTGAAAAATGCATATAAATATATAAAAATCTACGTATTTTTGAAAAAAGAAAAAAAAAAAAAACAAGTTAAAAAGTATCAGTAGGTTTTGCCTACAGATGTATACCCCCAGCCATGAGTTAAAATTATTTTCATTGTTAAGTCTTTATTGGGGATGCTCCGAAGCAGTTGGACAATATTGTCCAATTCGTATCAAAATTTTTAACCCTTTGAGGGTGAAGTATCAGAAGGACAAACAGCACCAAAATATCCCATTCTCACAGCACATCTTGTGTTTGTAGAAATAATGGGATGTGTGAAATATTAAGAGAACCGGATGTTTATTATGGATCGTTTTGGTTATTCAAAACTTTGACCTATGTGGGAGAGGTACCAGAAGAAATGGTTCGATACCTACCATCTTTAAAACAGATCTTGTGTTGATGGAAATATTAAGTTATACCGAGTCTGAATGGAATTGGATGTTATTCAAAATGTTGACCCTTTATGGGGGAGGGGATAGAAGGAATGGACCGATAAATTCCATCTTCACACCAGACCTTGGGTTAATAAAAATATTGTAATGTGTGTAATTTGAAGAAAATCGGACTCGCACATCACATTTTATAAGAGTTATAATTATTCTAAATTTTGACCCTTTGACTTGATGGAGTGAACCGATTTTGTCCATTTTCACTCCTGACCTAGCACTGACACAAATACTAGGATTTGCCAAGATGGAGAAAAATTGGATTATCTTTTCTCTTTCTGTGCAAAAAATATATTTTTTGAAAATTTCGACCTTTTGTGAGGAAGGCACCAGAAGGGGTGAACCGATACTGCCCAACTTAACACCAGACCTTGGGTTAATATAAATATTGGGATGTGTGAAATTTGAAGACAATAGGACTCTTACATCACATTTTATGAGGGTTGTAATTATTTAAAATTTTAACCATTTGTGGGGGAGCTACTTGATGGAGTGAACCGATATTGTCCATTTTCGCACCTGACTTAGCTCTGATGCAAATATTAGGATTTGCAAAGTTGGAGCAAAAATCAGATTATCCTTTCTCTTTCTGTGCAATAAAATATTCTCTTATATAAAGCGAATTCTTCATTTAAAAATAAACGATTTACGCTATCTATTTTTTATTTGAATACATTTCGCAGTTATTGTCATATTATCAATATAAAATATGTCAATAAAAATTTAATAAACTTTACGTTAAAAATAAAAGGAAGATGGTCTGGCCTTTTGCTTATCGGACAGTTCCAATTTAAAAAAAAAAAACTTGTAATAACGAAAAATTATTTATTTGTCCATAAACTTTTTTACATTTGTTCTTTGGTCTTCCCCCCCAAAAACATAAATTTCCATCTGAATTTATTTTCAAAATAATGGCAACTCTGCCTACTGTCACGGTGACAGTGAAGCCAAATTGCTTTTTATGGTAAACAAACATCGTTGGTATACACGATAAGTTTCATATAAATGAAGAGAACCTTACTCTTTCCCTCTTACTCTGGCAAACAAGGTCTCTTGAATGAAACTTTATATATATAGGACTCCCAAAAAAATTATGCAAATTCAAAATATTTCAAAATTAATATAATTCAAATTAAGCGACATATATAAATATTCACCCATATATCATTACCCTAACAAACAGGAAAACCGCTCTCTCTCTCTCTCACCGTTGAACGGGCAAAAAAGTAACAGCACAACTAATCTTATCAACTCTCCCCACCATTTAATTTGTATTTTGGACCCATTGCCGGTTATTTTCGTTTTCAGTTTCTCCCAAACGCTTCAAGAGTAAACAATAAAAAATAATTTTTTCGTTGCTGCCAACAAATCAAACAACAACAATGGCCCGTAGTATAACTCACTTAAATCCGCAGAAAACTTTATTTCTTCTCTGCGATGTCCAAGAGAAATTCCGTCCAGCTATGCCATTGTTTGATAAATTAATTGAAAATGCCAAACGTTTGGTAGGTAAATTGAAATTTTATTCCAGACAAAAATTAATTGAATTTCAATTTCAATTTTTTCCAGACCACCGCTGGTAAAATATTGGAAGTCCCACTATTGGTCACCGAACAAAATCCCGATAAATTGGGTAAAACTGTGCAAGAATTGGATATTAGCCATGCCAAGGCCAATGTTAGCAAGACCCGTTTCAGCATGATGATACCGGATATTGAGCGTCAAATGCAACAGCTATTCGATGGCGGAAAACCCACCGATGTGGTGTTGTATGGCATTGAGGTGAGTTTGATATAAAACAACGAAAAAAAATTTTTTGATACAAATATATTTTTATAATTATTATTTAAAAGAATAAAAATTAAATAGATATAAAAAAATATCAATTATGGAAAAATAAGTAATAATCAAACATCATCAAATCAATTTTTTCCTATAAACGTTTTTCAAAAATTAATAATTTTTCTATAAAAAATTTGAAAATTTTATTTATTTTTTTTTATACCCTACAACACTATGTGTTGGGGGTATTATAAGTTTGATTGGGCCAAAAATTATGTAACACCTCGAAATATTGGTTTCCCACATAGGAAAGTATATATGGATCTTCCTAGCTCGCCGAGCTGAGTCGATCTAGCTATGTATGTCCGTCCGTCCGTCTGTCCGTCTGTCCATGTTAATTTGTAATCACTCTACAGGTCGCAATTATGGTCCGATCTTCACGAAATTTAAAATGTAGGTGGGGCTTGGACCAGAATAGAACCCTATTGCTTTTGGAGATGATCGCCAAATGTTTAGGGGTTGAAATGGACCGAATACTGAAAAAATGTCGGATTTTGCAGTAGCTATACAGGTCGCAATTATAGACCAATCGACGCGAAATTTCGCATGTAGATAGAGTTTAGGGCGGGGAAGAAGCCTACCAATTTGGGTGGTCATCGGATAATATTTAGCGGGTAAAATATACCATATCTTTTGTGTTGAAAAAAATCAAAATTTTTCATTAAACCGTGAATATTTTAAATCCCGGCGAACTCACAAAGCCATCAAAAGGTTACTTCTGACCTTCACATTGATGTTATTATCCAACAAATCGGATATATAGTAAAATGTGTGCGATATATATATTTATCAAAGGAGATATGCTTGAAAAATCTCTTATATGTCGAGAACGGCTAAACTGATTTTGACAGTTCTTATTAATTCAGAATGGTCTCTTGGCAGGAAAGAAAAAACGTCTAAAAAATCGCATTAAAATATCTCTTTAAAGATGAAAATATTGATTTTGTAAAATTTTCTCATATTTTTTTCAATTTTGTCATATTTTTGGCATATTTCATTTTGAATTAAACATTTGGTAATATTTCTACAGCTAACAAAACTAAGTAGTTAGGATATCACGATATCATATACAGATCGCATTTATGGCCCGATCCTTACAAAATTTTGCATGGAGATAAGATGGGGGTCAGAATAGAAGTCTACTCTTTTTGGAGATGATCGCCATATATTTAGGGGTTGAAATGGACCAAAAACTGCAAAATTGTCGGCAGGTCGTAATTATCGCCCGATCCTCACGCATATTTGAATGGGGGTTACCGCACATTGCAAAAGCCAAGCAGTTTTGGATGGCCATCCAAAAATATTCAATATTCGTTGAGGAATATAGTCAAATGTCTATATCTCATATAGATGCGTTTCAGTGAAAAACCAATAATAAATGTTAATCTTTTGCCACTTCTGAGAGATTATAGATCTTTGGGAAATATTGGTTCCAGATCTAGGAAGACCATTTAAGTTCAACATCTACAAATAAATTGGAAATGATCAAATTAGTTAAAGTTGCTTTTATTCGAAAATTAGAGAACGAAACCTGATGGTTTTCTTTTATTATTTGTCACAATATCTTGTGGAATTCTTTCGAGTATCTCGCCTATATAAACTGTATGGTTTATTATAGTGTTGTAGGGTATTCAACGGTCGGCCCCGCTCGACTGTAGCCTTTGCTTACTTGTTTGTTTTAAAATCAATATTTTACCTATAACAGATTAGAAATTTTTTTGAAAAATAATATTTTTTAAACAAATTTTATTTTTTATTAAATCTGTTTTAGAAATTGTTAAAACTCTATAAAAAGTGATATATTTTTTCTTAGAAAAAAACTAAAATCTTATTTTTTTAACATTCCAGTCCCATGTGTGCGTTGAACAAACCGCCATTGATCTCTTGGAGCGAAATATCAATGTGTTTCTGGTAGCCGATTGTGTGGCGTCTCGTGTTAACCAAGATCGGGATATGGCAATTGAACGTTTACGAGCTGCCGGTTGTGTTGTTACCACCAGCGAAAGTGTCATCTATGATCTACTACGCGATAAGGAGCATCCTAAATTCAATGAGCTACGCAAATTGCTAGTGGCCAAATCTGCCGATATGCAGCTAACCAGGAGATCAGCGATGACTGATGCTGCAACAGCCAAATTGTAAATAACATCCAATTTTTAGAAGAAAGAAAATTAAAGAAAATCGTCGATAATATGTTTAAGCTTTTAAAGGAACCTTCTTAAACGAAACTAAAGGTTGGTTTCGATATCCAGCAACTTCAAGGTTTTTGGGAAAGTTTCAAGAAAGCTAAGGTATTGAAGACTTTGAGTGAATGTTTATTAATCCGAGAATACATTGAAGAATTGGCCTCGTCTCAAAAAGAGTCTGCCAAAAATTCATCACACTTTTTTCATAACAATTATTTCTTTATTTTATTACTACACGGTATTTAGATTATGTACAGAGAAACAAAAGCAATTTGAAAACTATGTTTTATAACAAAAAATATATATACGTGTTTTTATATATATACAGAGTTATAACTTATGCAGGCTTATGATTGAAATGATTAATGTTAATTAGTTCTAAATGCTATTACAGCTCAAAAAAAAAAAAAAAAATTTGTAAATCGCAAATGCATTTCTTGCCGTTTTAAACCCCATATAAAAGGCTTTAGATTCTTACTCCTTAATGAGCCCTGACCAGGGCAGTTAAAATAATTTCAATATTGGCAAAGTTTCCCCAATTGAAAAAAATATTTTTCATTGTAGTTTAACTCCAAGGAAAATAAGAACAGTTTAAAAGTAAAATTTAACAATAGCTTTTCCTGAGGGCATGTATATGATATTGACAAAGGACAAGAAACATTTTGCAGAACCTTTAGATTGGGTGTTGGAAAGGTAGAATACCCACTGGGAAATCTTTCATAATTAAAATACTCCTTAAAGGGCATCTATATATGAGGACCTGTGAGAGAAGGCCTGGAATAAATGTTCTTTTCATCATTCAACAACCCATTGAATTTGGAGAAGATCTTTAAAAAACTTTATGCATTTTCAGGTCCTACATATATAAAACACCTCAAAGATTGTGTGAATAGTGTTGTAGCTGTAAGTTCGGCCGGGCCGAACTTTGAATACCCTCCACAATTTGGTACAAATTTGGCAATTTCCAAAAAAAATCCAACAAAAATTCTGTTAAAATCTTAAAAATATCGAATGTAGCCGTATATTAGGGTCTACACGGCGACGTGTAGAAACTTAAAAAAATCTGTTTATAATATAGCTAAAATCATCAAAATACCGAATATTGGGACGTGCCATGGGGGTTATAAAACGTGGACAGACAATTATCTATCATAGGCAGTACGAACTTCAAACACAAAATTTGAAATAATTCCGGTAAATAGTATCTCTAAAATCATCAGATTACCCAATATTGGGAGGTACCGTTATATGGGGGCTTTACGATGACGTAAGGATGTAGTATCCATTACAATTCAAATACCAAAATTGAAATAATTCCGGCAAATATATATACGAAGACGTGGACCTACATAGCCCATTTTCAATACCAAAAGTCCTGCAGACATAATATACATCTGAGTAAAATTTTATGAACCTACTTCATTTCGTTTGGAAGCTGGAGTGATTTCCACAGACGGACATTGATAAATTGACATAGAATTTTATGCTGATCAAGAATATATATATATACTTTGTGGGGTCTAAAATGTATATTTCAAGGTGTTACAAACAAACATATATATATATATATATATATATATATATATATATATATATATATATATATATATATATATATATATATATATATATATATATATATATATATATATATATTAACCGATTTGAGGTTAATTGTGCTCCAAATGGCCAATATCGGTCCAAATGACCTGGATTCTGGCACATCCCACCAAATTCAGGCAAGAAGTAAGTACATCAAATTTGTTTGAAGATCGGTTCAGATATAGTTATAGCTCTCATATATATGTTTCATCCGACTTGGGGTTTTAAGTCCCTCACATTCGTATTATGTCATCAGATACAGCACAGAAATACCTCTGGCACATCCGACTTGAAGCAAGTATCTCAATCGAAAATCGATTCAGACTTGGATATGCCTCCCATATATTAGTTCCCTCTGAAACCAAATTATAACTGCTCTAAAGCGATAGGTTGATAGGTGGTATGATCTTCTTCAAATAAATTCATTTTTTACGAGAACTATACTAAATATGCATGCAGGTTATCGTATATCAGGCCCGACTTACTTTTGACATTTCCTTTTTGGGTTTTCTTTGAAAAACTCCAAAAGGTATTCCAGCAGAAGAAGTATATAAATATCGTTTTTCCTTAGAATATCTACATCTTTTTCAAGTCTTCTGTAAAGGGCAAAACTTTCATAGATCGTCTTCTTTAGAATGAAGATCACAACGGGGCATTTAAAAATATAAAACACTTTTTAGTATTTTTGAATAGAGGCCATTTATGAAATGTTGTGATAGGTTTCACAGGTCCATATTAATAAAAGAACCGTTAAAAATCTTTTTTAAATACCACACTTCGCTGACAGCATCAAATTTCAACAAATTTATATTACACAAAATATTTCTTCATTAAATAAAAATTAATTTCAATTCATATTTTTTTGTAAAACAAATTAAAGCTTATTCTATTTTCTATAAATAACACTAGGATAATGATAACAATAGTTAATATATATTTATATTTAGAATATATAAATTGCACCTTAGGCAAAAAAAAAAAAATAGTTCAAAAAAATAAAACGCACAAAAATGAATGGGGGTCTGAGCCCTGTTTTGAAATCTGGAGAAGATTGATTACAGAATTCGTATTCATATTAACATTTTGAGGGTAGATATATAATGAAAGTAAATAATATGCGTCCAACAGTCATTGTTTAAGTTTCATGTGTACATTTGTTTATTATACACATTTAAATTTTAAAATCCTTTTTTTTAATTTTTAAATCCCTTTTTCATAGCAAAATATTGATACTTAATTTTACAAAAAACATTCAGGCATGTCACAGAATGTAAAATCGTTCAAGAGTGAAAACGAAAACGGTTTTAGCTTCTCTAAAAAACGGAAAACGCAAAAATTTTGCGTTTTGATATCACTTTCAAAAAGCAGGGTGAAATTGAAATGTTTAGTGATTTTAACGTAAAAAATAAACAGAAGACACATACATTTAACAGAAAATATTGTATTAACCAAATTCTCTTAGAATGAACATGTTTTTGGAATTTATTTTACAAAAAATTTTTCTAATCCATGATGAAAAATAATAAAAAGGACTTGCGAGGAACTGGTGGTGGTGATATCAATCAATATGTTTTCAGTGAACACGAGAACAGTTTAATCAGAATTTGCGGATTGTATAAAAGTGTCGATGGAGTTGGTGGTGCAGTAAGCTTTGCGGATTTTGTAAGTGAATTAGACCTCAGTTGTTCTGAAAAAGAAAACTTTGATTCGTCATCATCTACACATATTCCAAGAACTCGAAAATCAAGTCAATTAGTTTTAAGTGAATCTGAAAACGAAGAGCTTAATTTTTCACCCTCAACTTCAAAGCAGACCACTTCGATTTTAAATAAAAAAGATAGACCAAGATCATGCATTCCAGCTGCTTTTAAAAATGTTTCTACATTGGCAATTGATCCAAGAACACCAACATTGGAAGAAAACCGTTCGCGAACACCTATTCAAAAACGACTTAGAAATAAAAGCTTATCGTGTTCTCCGCCATCTACACCAATAAGACAAGTGTCGGGCAGCCTAACAAAAGCAAAACCCACGCCTGCAGTAAAAAGACCCCGGGCAAGAACTCCCTCAAAGCAAGATCTAAATGCGCTTTTAGTTGAGGAAAATTCTCATTTACAAAACTTGGAAAAAATTTGTAAAATTCTAGAAGGTAACAGTAAGGAAATGAAAAAACAAACTGAAAAGTTGGACAGACTTTGTAACATCCTGGAAAAAAGTATGTGGAAGAGCAGTTACATAATATTGAAATGCAAAAGAGAATGCGTGAACGGAACGAAATGAAAGTCAAAATAGTTGAACTTGAAACTCTTAAATAAGCTGTAGAACAGGAAAAAGCAAATACGACTCGTTCTTAACTTTACATTATTTTACACAATGGACTAAAAATGGTGGATCCTTACTCTGCATTTGAGTGAGATAAAGGATCTGATGCGTTCCTCAATGTCCGGCGACGAATTTTTTCAGTAGACCGCTGATTTATTCATTACATCATCATTTACAGCAAGTATTGAAGCCCCTGGCATTTTTACTTTTGGTGTTTATATTATAAAAAACAATTCAAACTCCTTTTTTAATTGTCAATAATTTGTTTACGATTTTTTTTTTCATGGAGTTACCATATTTTTATTTCAAAAATGTGAAATGATTTTTTTTCCGGATTAGTCAAAACGTTCGAGTGCTGAAGAAGCAAAAGCAAATCGTAACGATTTGGATAAGGTGAAATAAATCGATTTCGTAAAACTTCTGTGACATGCCTGAATCAGGCATGTCACAGAATGTAAAATCGTTCAAGAGTGAAAACGAAAACGGTTTTAGCTTCTCTAAAAAACGGAAAACGCAAAAATTTTGCGTTTTGATATCACTTTCAAAAAGCAGGGTGAAATTGAAATGTTTAGTGAGTTTAACGTAAAAAATAAACAGAAGACACATACATTTAACAGAAAATATTGTATTAACCAAATTCACTTAGAATGAACATGTTTTTGGAATTTATTTTACAAAAAATCTATTATTTTTCTAATCCATGATGAAAACGCAAAAACATATGCAGAAATGAACGGCAGACTTGTATTGACTTTCTTAATTTGATCCAATGTGGCCAAATTTCAGCTTCAATTGCATTAATAACTCTCCACATAATTGTAGAAACTGTACTTCTCCCAAGGCTTAGCTCCACATCTCTACCTATAACTCCTTGAAATGCACCCGTAGCCAAAAACCTAAGCGTTGTTGCAAGCTGGATAATAGCCGGTATATTGGAACGTTTGAGGTAGGGAGAAATTTTTTCCAAAACTAAAACAAAAGCTTCTTTATTTAGCCGATAATAAGTTATAAATCTGTAGAAATAAATTATTATTAAAATAAATTTGAAAATAACTCATTGCTGGTGGATCCTTACTCTGCATTTGAGTGAGATAAAGGATCTGATGCGTTCCTCAATGTCCGGCGACGAATTTTTTCAATAGACCGCTGATTTATTTCTTCATCCATTACAGCAAGTATTGAAGCCCCTGGCATTTTTACTTTTGATGTTTATATTATAAAAAACAATTTAAACTCCTTTTTTAATTGTCAATAATTTGTTTACGACTTTTTTTTTCATGGAGTTACCATATTTTTATTTCAAAAATGTGAAATGATTTTTTTCCGGATTAGTCAAAACGTACGAGTGCTGAAGAAGCAAAAGCAAATCGTAACGATTTGGAAAAGGTGAAATAAATCGATTTCGTAAAACTTCTGTGACATGCCTGATTATCTCCCGCCCCAAAGAAGGAAACAACGAAATACTATATAACTCCCTTATAGTACTTTATCATATAACTTAAGAAAACTAATTAAAATATATAGATTTCCTAATATTTATTGTGTTGAGCCAGCAACTGCATATCGGTAAGGTATTTAATTATGTGGACTTTGGCCTCGGCTTTTTGCCGCACACCCAATGTATTCAGCATATCGGTGACGACAACACCGAACGACTGATCTTCGGCACTGACACCCTGTTGATTTTGTTTCGATTTCAGATTATTCAACATACTCTCATGGAACAGTTCATCTTCGGTACGTTCTCGTTTCATGGGCACTTCATAGTAAAAGGTTTGTTTTTGTTCTTTGCCCGAGGCGGGTGTTGTGGTGGCCGTTAATTGATTATCACTGGTAACGGTTATTTCAACTGGAATATCAATATGACGAAATAATTAGACTCATAACCTCATTTTCTATTAAAAAAATACAAATTGACTTACCATGATGATTTTGTAAAGCCTGTTGCGAGGTGGCCGCCGCCCCATTTAGGGGAAACATGGTGTCGACAACATGTTGCTGCTGTTGGGCCTGTTGTTGATTGTGGTCAACTTGTGCCACCTGATTTGCTGCCTGAGCCGGAGGTAATGGGCCACATTTGCCTAATAAAGATTCACGGTATTGCCTGATGGATTCGACAAGAAAACTCATTTGTTTGAAGTAGCGCCAACGGGATTCCGTGCTCAATTTCATTTCTCGGGCGAATTTGTCGCGCAAACTTTTCCAGCGTTTGGTGCATTTTTGTTCTGAAAAGAAGATTAAAAATTATTTAAAAAACAAAAATTAGCGAATTCGAAATGATTACTCGGATACATAGACGGATAATAAAAAATATCCGAATAATTTAAACCCAATTTATTTATATTGCCAATTCCATTGCAATATCCTATTATCGTGAAAACCGTAGGCGTTAAATTGCCGCCAAAAAGAACTTGATTCACTCATTTTGTCAATGTATAAAAACATGAAGAACAACGCCGATCAAACTTAGGGTTGGCTCTGATAAGTTCCTTTAATAACCAAAGGAGCGGTAAAGTATAAACAAACCACACATATTCTCTCCCTATTTTCATTATCCATTGGTTTGACAGTGCGAGAGACTCTCCGACCACTACTAATGCCCACATTGTAAGAAAACCTGTTTTAATTTGTCAAACTGCAAAAAATGCATTATAATTCTTCGCCGTCGTAAAATACATTTCTTAATTTAAAAAATTCCATGTCATGACCCACTCTAATACATCTAATAAACACATGTGCATTGCGCTTTGCACATTGCGTCGTGCGCCAGGGAGCAAAGGAGGTGGGAATTTGTTCTTGCAAAAATAAAAAAGAAACAAAAATAAAACAAAATCGAACAGCCGCAGACAACAGTAACAACATGCGACGCAGGCAACAACAACAACAAATGACAATTGATAATACGATATTCATTCAACAGCCGCCGTGTTTGACGTATGCAGCAGCACTAACCAAGGTAGATGTACTAGGTAATCGCATCAGCCCAGCTGACGGCACCATTAAATGTCAAAACAAATTGTTGTAATGGCGAATTCGCCCTAAATGAATGCAACAACAAATTTGTTTATGTTGTCTTCTCTAAAAATATTTTTATAATATATAATATTTCAAATAATTTAAGAGCAAGTTAAGAGTGAAACCAGTAAAAATAATTAAAAGAAAATGAAGGAAGGAGTATAGAATGGAGTGCAGCTTTAAGAATTAAGTTAGCCTCAACATATAAGTTTCCCAAAGCACATCACGGGAAGTGGTGCAAGAATTCGACTCTTGTCATTTGCAGTTCCGGAAAACTTTCGGTTTAAACCAGTAAAATATAGTCATTATAAGTTTCTTGGTTTAAAAAATATCGCAATACTACAATTAATACTTATTTTACTCATATTTGTTTTACAATAAAAACTTTTATTGCGAAGTTCGTTTACGACGAGAGGCACACAAAATAAAATGTAAACAAACACCTCGTTTCTGATTGGTTGAAACAAATTTGCCGCAACCTTTAAATGTCATGGCGAATCTATGTTTTTCGCCTTAGATGTCAATTTTGACATTTGAGGGGACCACAAAAGTTGCTTTGTTGTAGCAATTCGCCGATGCGGTTACCTGTTAGATCTACCTTGGCACTAACAATCCAAACCGAAAGCGAGTCAACGTAAAGTTGGCTACACAGCGACAGCGCACATATAAAACAACGGAAAATACAAAAACTACAGAAGAGTATCATCGAAAATCAAAACAAAAGAAAAAAAGCAAGCAATAAAAAGAAAAAAAAACGCACCAACAAAGGCAACAACTTCGACGATGGTTTCATCGTCGTTCGTCGCGTACAGCACACAAGTGTGCTACTGCAAACGTGCGACGTAAGCCACAGTCAGTACACCAACAACATCGACGCAATGACTTTTTTTGGGGTAGGGTTGCCATATATAAAAAGAAAAAGTGGATAAGTTTGGGGTATTTTTATATCGATTCCTCATAATTAGTTGGTGCGTTTCATTTGTCGTCTTTGTAATAAGCTGCGAAAACATTCGGAATTCACAGTTTGGTGCTGTTTATGGCATCATTGGATAGTACTTCTTCAAAAATATTGTGAATTGTTACAGAAGTGTGAATGGTGAGTGCTAACGTGAGATAATATCCAACTTCCCCCCCCCCCCCCAAAAAAAATTAAGGAGCTTGACGGACAGACAGTGCCACATGCCATACAGCACTCGAAACAATGGGCTTGTTGAGAGGTGAGTTCGATGCGCCTACAGACTTTAAAAATCACCATTTACATAAATGGGGACCTGTTTTCTACCGTTAAATTAATTCTATCATTGTACGAAGTTGACGTACTCCCCGCATACCATAGTTAATTCATTTGTAAAATTCAATTAAATCTTCCAAAATACATGTGCTATATTAAAAGATTGTCTTCTATATTTATACGGAGCTACCAAATAAATTTCTTTGAAATTTGTGATAATTCCAAATTCAAATTTTACGCAACTCTGTTGAAAAAATTTGCCAAAAACACCTATACCTAAACTTTGACCATAGAACTGCTCAAAATGGTAGCTTCTCAATTTGATTCGTTTAGATGCTAACGTTACAGCAAAAGACACACGGACCAACTCGAAAAACCTTTACCTTCAAAAATTTCATTTGTTGGTTTTGTTTCCGTTACAACAACAAACTAAGTTCTAGCCATGGTACAATGAAGATAGGGTAGGCCATGGTAGACGAATATAGAATTCAATTTTAGAATTGAAAATTTTGAATGAAAACTTATTGAAATTTGAAAAAATTGTTGAAAAATACATATCATTACAACCTCTGATTTGCGTCGTATAAGAAAACAAATAAAAATCGACTTATTTTTGACAAAGCACTTAAAAAAAATTTGACATATCAATGTTCTCAAGCGTTGATGCATCTACCTATATTCTTCTACCATGAAGTAGGCTGGATTTAAAAAAAATTGTCAGTGTGGAGGTCTAATCTGTTTGGCTTGTAATGTCAGAATTACTATCAAAACAATCAAAAGCCCAAACAACAACGTTGCATTGATTTTGAACAAATAATTGAAAACTGCAAAAACTGAATGAAAAGTCAAATTTTATTTTCAAAATTATGTTCTATATACCTATAAAGATTTATTTCGCTACAAAACTGTACATACATACGTCGCAATAAACATTTTGAAAACACCCAAATTTAAATATTTCCTAAACAATTCTTTAATTTTTGAAAAGAATACACACACATAAACAAATAAAATTGACATATTAGGCCAGGAAAATAAAAAAAAAATAAATTATATGGTATCATAGCCCTTCATTTTATTGTACCAATCGATAAAAGTTACAGAATAGGCCTGCAGCAGACCAATAGGTGTCATTTTTATATTTGATCAAATTTGTTATATTTGCATAGAACTATACCTTTGGCAACCCTATGTTCTGATTTGAAACGGACCCAGACGTTTAGAAGAAAAGTATTAACAAAAAAACAACAACAGCTACGACGACACTACACTCGAAGCAGATACACCGACAGATAGCTCTGCGAGCACACACAAACACGAAGACAGCATTTAAAATAACATGGAAGAGGCGGCGGTTGAAAGGGTAAACAACAGTCAGCACAGACACAAACACTCGCGCACACCACAGAAATACACGACGACGACATTAATATGTTGAGTCTCAGTGGGGGAAGAAAATTATCATTTTTTTTTGTTGGCCATAGCGGCCGTCGTTGTCGGGGAGGGGAGGCAATTTGACGTACCCACTAACAAACATGATTGGAACGGACTCTCTGACTAGTCAGAATGTTTGTTTTTTTTTTGACAGAGTTCTCCTGCAGCATTACCTTCTTGAAATTGCTGCAATTTCTACTTCCCTTCTAATGACCTACTCGCTCAATTACCACCCCCAAGTCTAGTTGAATTAACTTTGTATTGTATTCTCTCACCCACTTACCAGGCATACCAAGTTGCTCCGATATCTGCTTCCAGACCTGGGCCTTTCGCACAAAATGCTTGTAATTATAATGGGAACGATCATAAATCACAGGATTCATTTTCACTGCCTCGATGAGGCTCAGATCGAACTGCTGTTCCATATTCGCATCCATTTTGTCCACCATGATATGAGCTTTGCCAAGGAAATTTCTTTGGGGGGTTTTCCTTGTCAATATTTGCTTTACTAATTTTCTGATATGGCGACGTTAACTTCTCTGCAAACTTTAGCGCCTTTTTCCCAAAAAAAAATTAAACTGGAAATTTTCTCTTTTACCAACCGCGCTCTGAGAACGCAAAATGGTAACGTAATTTTCCGTTCCTTTTGACAATTAACTGCGACGTCACAGTGTGACTTTTGCCGACGATAATGATGTTTGTTATGCGCCAAGTAGGCTTTGGCTGGTGACTTCAGACAAAGGTTTTAATTTTCCTAGCGACAGCAAATAATTTCGATTCTCTTTTTTTTGTTGTTGGTGGAAATCTCAAACTGTGTCCCACATACACTCTCCCACTTTCTATGCCAGCTTGGAGAAGGGGGTGGATGGTGGGTCAGGCGGTTGGTTGGTCACACTATCAAAATGTCTTCAACCAGCCAAACAGGAATTCTTATTTTATCTTCCGATAGCAAAACGAACAATTCAATTTTTCCCACTTGCGCTTATTTCTGTGCTGACGACTGACGTAAACGACGACGTGAACGTAACTGATGTGAATCGACAGCAAAACCAATGACCATTTTGTCGACGTTCGTCGTCGGTACAGCAAACAACCGAACGACGAGGTTGACGTCGTTCGTCGGTTGTTAGGGGCCAAAGAAAGCAAAAACAAAATATGAAGTAAAATATCCACACATACGGGCGCACATACAACGTCGGCTCCTGGTTTTTGTGAATATTGAACGTCGGAGCGGTCCAACTGTAAGCACATCAGAAATAAAAACATCGTTTTTCTTAAGGTAAGGTCACATTGAGCAAATATTTGACGAAAAATGTCAAATATTTCTTTGTCACAATCTGACCACCAAATATTATTTGACGGTAAATACAAAAACAGCTGATTTTGGGAAAACAAAATTATTTGCCAGAAAACAAAAATTTGACCAGTGTGTCCATAATATTTTCCTATTTTTTGGTCAAACATTTATTTGACGGTGCAAATGTTTTGTAAGGTCAAACAAGGAAAAATATCAGTTTAAAACATTGGGCAGCATTTTGCTTTAAGAACAGGAGCATTTGTAACATGATGTTTAATGAATAGAAAAGCAAACGAATACAATAGGTGGTATTGTTTATTTGATATTTTTGAATTAACTGAATATGAATGTTTAGTAAAAATTTAATATATGGTCTGCTCCAGAACTGCAAGTTGTAAAAGTTTTTACTACGATTACCGATTTTCACTTTATTATATCGAAGAAATTGACAAACTAGTAGATTATTGCAGGTTCAGGAATAGGATATAGGTAGATGCATCAACGCTTGAAACATTGATATGTCAAACATTTTGAAATGTTTTGACAAAAATAAGAAGATTTTTCTATGTTTTCTTTTACGCAATGATATGTATTTTTCAACAATTTTTACAAATTTCAATAATATTTCATTCATTATTGTTTTGTCAGTTCATTGTCCCAGCAGCTATGTCGATGCGACTACCAGTATTCTTCTACCGTGATACAAACATACAAAAATGCAAAAAAATGTTCTGACAAGGAATTTATTCCACAACAGCTGGTCATTTGCTTCCCTTCTCCAAATAAATTATACCCGAAACTCCATTATCTTTATGTCTCTCTTTCACTCTCTCTGTCATTTCTCTCGGCCAAATAAATTTATGTTTCCTCACAGTTTGATCAAACAATTTATTGGGAAAATATATTTTACGAATGTGAACATGTGTCAAACATGTTTCCCCATAGCACTATTTGACGTTATTTGGTGACTGTTTGAACAAACAAAATCTGTCAAATATTTGACTGTAATGTAAACATCGAATCAACTCTGTATGAATTTCACATTTGTTCAGTCAAATATGGGAAAACAAATTTCGATCAAATATTTGCCCAGTGTGACCGTACCTTTAGAATTAGCTTTATTTAAGTGAGAATACATAGAAGATGTTTATCCTCACTTAAAGGTGCTAACACAAAGAAGGATATTTTCCAAAATAAGTCATCAGCTGTTTTTTTTGTAAATAAAAGAACAAATTAGTTTAAGGTTGACTTGGTTCAATTTCGGCCCACAATTTAAACTATGTCGCCCTACTTCATTTGTTTTTTACGAAGAAGGCAGCCGGTGACATATAACAGAAAAAAAACACTTTTATGTATTCTCGCCTTAATTTAATGGCTGGATTTTCGTGACAATTACAGAAGGTGCCCTTAAAATGAACAAAGCCAAATGTTTTATATTTATAAGTCTATTTGACACTGTAAGATTCCAGCACAGAGTTGCATTTTTGTAGTTTCTTTGAAGTTGAGCAACTTCATGGATGGAATGAAAAGGGGTGATCGAAGTTAAACTATATCATTTACTTTGTTATTTTTCAAAAAAAAAAAAAAAAATGCAATGACTCAACGCAGAAAAAAATTCGTTTCTTCACTGTCTACTTTCTTCTTCGGAAAAGAATAAAGGATCATAGGGCCAAAACTCGAAATAAGCCATTTAAAAGCAAAAGTAAAGTATTTAAGCATCCTACATAATAGTATCATGGTAAAATTAAGAAGGTAAAATAATTTCAAATAAGCATTTCCATCTTTGCATTTTCTGTAATTTACCTGGTCAAATTTCACTGCATAAAAAGCAGGTTTACATCTCTGATTTGTGTATGTACAATGGATTGATAAATAAACATTTTGACAATAAGATGTTGTCAAATGAATAATTTTTGAAAAAAATTAATATATAAACATATGAGTTCATGACTTTACCTTCTTAATTCTACCATAAATAGTACATGGATTTCGAAAATCCAGTGGATTATGGCAATTTCCATTGTAAATATATTAAAAATAATGTAAACATGGTAAACATGGACGTATTTTATTTTGCATAAAGAATGTACAACTCTTTACTACGATAACCTATTTTCCTTTTATGATATCGTAGAAATTTGCAGATTTTTTGCAGAATCTGAAAAACTAAAACTAAAACTGCAGAAATACAGACCTGAGGCTATGCCCGCTTCCTGTCAGACTCATTCAAAATTATATACAACAAGTTGTTTTAATTTTTTTCTTATTTTTCCTCATTTTTAAAATAGCGCGAAAAATGAATGAAATGTCTGGATTTTCTCTAAAAATATGACTCAAACTGTTCAATCCTTCAATTTTATGGCTAAACAAGTTAACAGATTTAATTCGCGAGCCGCAATACACGTGTCTCCAATCATTGCTTGTGAAAATATATTGTTTTCATTGTTCAAAACAATATATACATACACAAATTTGGCATAAGTCGGGCACACTTAGAAAAAAATTATAATCAGCTGGTGGCTTTACCTTACCTTTTTATTGTACCATGGGTTGAACAAATAAAACAGGCCTTAAATATATTTTAATATATCAACGCCTTCAAATTTATGGAGTTCAGTGTGACTTTGGTCTCTGATACGAACGCCGTCACTTGCCACAACATTGGGCCACTGACCAAACATTATTTATTTATCCGGTTAAACAAAAAAAATAGTTATTCTATCAACAAGTAAGGGAAATTGTTGTGTTTTTAAAGACATTTTGTTAAAAACACACTATTTGAATATTAATAAAGAAATCAGTAAATTAAAATAATAAATAATTTCTAAACGCAACGCAGAATTCATCAATCAAAACAACAACAACAAATTCATGTGGGCGTTTGATAATAAATTTGCATTGTTTTTTTTTTCTTTTATGGGTGATGTGTGAACTTCATTGTTGGTTTGGAGAAAAAGTGGCACAAATCACAAATGATTCAGTGCATGCATTAAAAAAACTTGTTTATGTGTATTTTCTTTCACGATAAGCCTGTGCACACACAACGAAACAGTGAATTTGTTTTCTTTGTCCTCTGCCACCACCACCAGCACTTTGTGAGTTTTATCATCATTAATTTTTTTTCGGTAAAGTTAACAAAAAATTGCTACGAGATGACATTGACTTCTCTTCACCATCTCCATCAACATTCAACAGCATTCGAAGACGCTGTATCTTTTCATTGTCTATTGGTGTGTGGTGTGGTGCTGATGTGTAAAAGTTCCTCTTAAAAACATAGATAACCGATAAAAAAAACCTTCAAAATAAAAGCAAGTGGCGAACTTCTTCTATAGTTTTGATAGAGAGTAAAACGAGAAACAGCAAAACATCTGTGTGTGTTTACAAAAACAAAAAATAAACAACGCAAGCAACAGTCAAAGCAAAGTTATTTTTCGGCTTTGGTCTTTCTAATCAATTGTCTTTTACCCTCATTAAATTGCTTATCACTGCGTGTTTGGTAACTGATAGCCAAAATAAAAAAGAAAACCATTTTTTTAAGTTTCTTAAATACAATTTGCAAACGTCATAAATATTTTTAATTTCTTTTTCAGATTAATATTTGACGTAATAAGTGTTCTTATCCACAGTAAAGTTCATTTTTAACAACGGCGCGGTTCATCGAAGTGTTGTGTTTTCTTTGTGCGATAGCTGCTACCCCTTGATGACCAGTGGATAAAACTGGTTGGTAGTAAACTATACAAACTCTTTTTCCCCGATTCCATGAGCCCACATCGCACCCGTAGGATGAGCCATAGTTACAATGACATCCCAGTGGGTGTATTGGCTGTACAAAAGTTAGCACGTAGCTGTTGTCCCCAACTACGATGGAAAAAAGAAACAATGTAAGTAGAGTTGAAGATAAAATGTTTAAACAATTCATTTTAAGAAATGTTCTTTATAGAGCACTTAATGGTGTTGATGATAAAGTTGAAGTTGAAATTTAAGTAGTAAGCATTGTAGATGTCTTTTTGGAATCGCTTTTAAAGCTAAATAGAAACAGAAAAACTTATATTGCAAATGAAATATGGATTTGACAAAACATATAATGCAAGATATATAATGCCAGAATAAAAAAAAATCTACAGCTCTTACCATAAGAAAGGAGGTCTGCTAAATCTAGACCTTGTAGAGGTCTATAGATATGTCTTTTTATACCCTCAGCCATATTGCTAGAAAGGGAGGGTATATATCATGTGATACGGCCCAAACGTGCCTTATCGAAATATAGGTTTTAGACCGTAGGTCTTTTTAGACCAAATCCGTTTCAGGGCATTTGGAGTCGGTCTTGCGATGTCCATCTGTCTGCTGACTGGTGCGCACGATACCTCTCGAATGGAATATCCGATATGATCCAAACTTGGTACATCGTAATATTATTGTTAAACTTAGATCGAGTTTGGTATCTTCCCCCAAAAATTTCAACATTTTCAAAAAAAATAAATAAATAAAATAATAAATAAATAATTTACTGTATAGAAAAAGAATGGATAATTTGATTTTGCTCTAACTTTGCATAACCTGATATTTGCATAAGTGCTATGTCAGGTGTGAAAATGGAAAATATCGTTGAATTCCATCAAGTACCTCCCCGCAAATGGTCAAAATTTGGAACAATTATAACTCTTATAAAATGTGATGTATGCGTCGATTGTGTTCAAATTAAACACATCAGAATATTTTTTTAGCTCAAGGTCTGGTGTGAAGAATGGAAATATCGGTCCATTCCTTCTGGTACCTCCTCCACAAAGGGTCATCATTTTGAATATTCATAAAGCTCATAAAGCACGAAAGTAACATCCGATTCCATTCAGACTTGGCAAATCTAAATCTTTCTATCATCACAAGATCTGTTATAAAGATTGAAGAGATCAGACAATTCCTTCTCGTGCCTCCCCCACCAAGGTTTAAAATAATAATAATAATAAGCATCCGCTTCTCTTGAAATTACACACATTACAATATTTTAATTAGCCCACGATATGGTGTGAAGATGGGATATATCGGTCTACTCCTTGCGGTACCTCCCCCACAAAGGTTCTGTTGATCTGCCAATCCCTTCTGGTACCTCACCCACAGAGGTTCACATTTCCAAAACTTTTATTTGTCATATTTGCGAAACAAGTCGGCGATTATTTACAACTTGCTCTATCTAAATATTTCTCTTAACTAGAAATCTGATATGAATATGTAATTTATTGGAATTTATGATTTCGCATAATGTTGGATGTATAATTTTTCGATTTCCTTTAAATTTTGCGCATACCAATATTTTTAACTGTATTAGATGCAGTATAAAAATGGAATACTTCGTTCCGCTATATCTGTTACCTCACGCATATTTCCACATTTCCAAAAAATTACACATATCTCATATAAAGTAAAGGAAGTAGTCGATATAGTCCAAATCTGACACTTTGTAATATTTTTACCAGTCTTAGGTCCAATACAAATTGGTCAATATTGTACAATCGCTTCAAAACCTCTCTCATAAAGGGTCAACGGTTTGAATAATCATAACTCTAGGCTGGGTGTATACATCTGTCGGCAAAACCGACTGATACTATTATACTTGTTTGGATACATATTAAAGAGATAGAAGATACTCTCAAGATATTTGCCCTATTAAACTTTTCCTGTATAACGAAAGGCTATTTTGCGAACATTCAAACCTTTTAGAGACCTTTTAAAAATTTGAATTATTTTTTAAGATTTCAAAGTTTTTTATTATGAGAGTAATTAAGGCCTTTGTTATCTGCTGGTGACTCAAAACAAAAGACACACCAAATAAGATGCATCATTAATTCCGTTTTTGCATCATTCACGAATTACAAACAATGTGATCTTTATGTAAATAAGGCTCTTTCATATGTTTGTTTTTCTTATTTTACAAAACGCTTGTTATCTGACGACTAAATTTTTGCAAGCGATGGAATAATTTTAACATGACTAATTTTTAATTCTGCAAAGAATCTAATAACAATTTTTTTGTTTTTTTATTTCAGATTCAAAGCGTCAACTTTTGTGTTGACCTACTTAGCCTATACTTGTTATCATATGTCCCGTAAACCGATATCTGTTGTCAAATCGGTTTTGCACACAAATTGCAGTGACACAGTAGTGCACAACACGTCATCAAACGATTGTGGCTATGCACCATTTGGTAGGTATTTTTTGAAAATTTAAATTCGATAGTTTTTATTATAATTTGTTTGTCTCCTTTAGATGATTCAAATGCTCCTGCCTTATTTGCCGCCTTGGATTCGGCCTTTCTGTTTTCCTATGCCGCTGCCATGTTTGTGTCAGGCTTTGTGGCAGAACGTGTGTCACTACGCTACTTCTTGGCATTTGGCATGATCTTTTCGGGTGTCTTTTCGTATTTGTTTGGCATAGCCAAAACGTGGAGTATTCATGCAATGTCGTATTTTATATTTGTACAAGTCTGTGCTGGCATAAGTCAAACAACGGGATGGCCTGGTGTTGTTGCACTAATTGGCCGTTGGTTTGGCAAATCGAAACGTGGTTTAATATTTGGCATATGGAATAGTCACACATCGATTGGCAACATATTGGGTACCCTTATCGCAGCCCAGTATGTGGAAAAGGATTGGGCCTTGTCATTCATAATGCCGGGCATAATAATTGCCGTTATTGGTTTTGTATTGTTTCTATTCCTTGTCGATTGTCCCGAAATGGTGGGATGTAATCCTCAGGCATCGAGTACCGTGGTGGATAGATCACCGCCCAATGATTCGGATATTGAGGATAATGCTTATGATGCGGTGAGTATAACTAGAAATGTTAATGAAAATTTTTTTAAATTTTTATGTTTTTAAAACACAAAAAAAACAATATCAAAAAAAAAAATAAATAAATAAAATTGTTTTTTGTTTCCTTGCTTTTCAGGATGTAAATTATCGCCCCTCGGAACGAACCCCCATCCTTGATCGACCCACAGCCCATGGCAATGCCCATGGCGAACGACCAATTGGCCTCAAAGATGCCCTACTCATACCGGGTGTTATAGAATTCTCACTTTGCCTATTTTTCTCCAAATTAGTTAGCTATACATTCCTTTACTGGCTGCCACTATATATACAATCTTCGAGTACGCTGGGACCTACCCTATCGGCCGATTTATCCATACTCTTTGATGTGGGTGGTATATTTGGTGCTATTGTTGCTGGTATGATATCCGATTGGTCGGGTATGTCAGCCACAACGTGTACAGTGATGTTATTCCTGGCATCACCTGTGGTAAGTTAGTGCAAATCCCAAACTTCTGCCTCTTAAACCTCTATCGAGTTCTCTTTCCCTCTTTAGCTTTTGGTTTATCAAGAATATGGAGCCACCTCAGTATTTGTTAGTGTATTCTTATTAATGGTTGCCGGTTTTTTGGTAAATGGACCCTACGCTTTAATTACCACATCTGTGAGTGCCGAGCTGGGTCAACATAGCTCATTGGAGGGTAATGCCAAGGCCTTGGCCACAGTCACAGCCATTATAGATGGCACTGGATCCATAGGTACTACACGGAAATGCAACTTAACATATCTAAATGGTTTTCTTTATTGATTTCTATTTTATCATCAGGTGCTGCGGTGGGTCCTCTTATGGCCGGCATGATCTCCAGTGCTGGCTGGCAAAATGTTTTCTATATGTTAATTATATCGGATTTCATTGCAATGCTTTTATTGGTTCGATTGGTTAAAAAGGAATGCACAAGAGTGACCAGATCACGAATACGCATAGAATAATTTGTATGATTTGTTATTGTTTCTTGAAAATGTATGTGTGTGCGTGCGTCCGTATATGTGTGTATATAAACGAATATTTAACAACAATGCCTTCTCAATCATATCTCTGATCTGTTTCCAACAAAAAAGTCAACAATCACAATTTTAAAATTTATAAAAAAAGATGGATTTTATGACTTTAAGCCACGATTATTTTTTGTTTAATTATTTTATTTTTTGATTACTATTTATAAGTTTAAAAAAAAAAAAAAAACAATTTTGTATTTATATTTGAGGCTTAGTTTTACAATGTTTTTTGCTGTTAACTGAAAGCCATACGATTTTATATCATAACATTATTGTCGATTAAATGTATTTGTAAAATAAAAAAAATAAACAAACAAAAAAACATAAAATTTAAAAACATCATAAAAGAGAAACATTGGGTAAAGTGAGAGGTTGGTGGGGTAGTTGTTAAGCTAATGTCCATGAATAAAAGACCAAAACCTAGTATCCACAGTTAGCCAAACTTGGCCAATTGCATGCCAGTGTATTCAAATCGAAATGCAAATTGGGAGGACATGTAAAATCATGACGACTACCTCCTATGCATTGATAGAAACGATTACAATCTGTATCGTGAGTAAAATAACCATCACTTGGACAAACATCTCCCAGAGGCGGTGCAATACTTGTAGTCGATGTCACTGGTTTTGTAGTTGTTGAAATTGAGGGTTTAGTTGTGGAATGGATTTCCCCATGTTCTCCCCCTTCTCCCTTTATTTTACGATTAATGGCATTCAAAAGAGGATATTTTTCACCACACTCTCCACGAAAATCATCGGTTTCAATTGACCACAGCATTACACCCGACAAATTTAAAGCATTCATATAATCCAATTTCAATTCGAGGCTTTGAACATTATCATAAGCAATCCACTGATTATCCTTAAACATATAGGGTACACCATGACTATCATCAAATACTCTTGTCCATCCACTTGACAGGGAACAAATTTCATTGTAACCCATAAAACCAGGTTCCCGTGTATATGGACCGGCCGCTCCAGCTCCGGAACAGGCAGAACCAGGTGTGGTTAGCTCTGGGTTTGATAACTGAAATGTACGACCATAAAATGCCAAGCCCAAAACCAATTTGGATGTAGAAGCACCTGAAGTGATAAAAAAAAATTTGGAAACCATACTTTTTAGCCATAAAAAGATGTTGTATTCTCACCATTGTTCAACCAATATGAAATACAATTTTCAACATTATTTTCACCTTGTCCTCTGAGCGGGGCATTGAAACCCAGTACACCATCAAACGCCATGCCCAAGTCATAGGTCATGACATTGATAAAATCCACATATTTTACAATGTTGGGGATGTCATAGGACACAGAGGCAGTGTTTGGGGATGCACCCACTGCAATACTAAGTTCCAAGTTTAGGGGTTTGAAGCTGGAATTAAGTTGAGAAATCAGAATTATACATGCTATGCTAAACAAAAATACTTTCTGCAAGTCTATACATAGAAGGCGTCCTTTATGTCTTCTATACATAGAAGACTTCTTTTACGTCTTTAACACATAGAAGAACACGTTCCATACGTCTTCTTTACATAGAAGACGTCTCATTTAGATATCTTCTATACACAGAAGACGCCCCATACGTTTCCTACACATTGAAGATGCCCCATACGTATAGAAGACGAACGGGACATCGGACGACGTTTGGAACTTCTTCTATATATCGAAAAGGTATGAAGCGTCTTCTATGTATAGACGAAATAGGAGACGTCTTATATGTATAGAAGACGTATGGGAAGTTTTCCATGTTTAGAAAAGGTATGGGAAGAAGTCCCATACGTCATCTAAATATGGAATACGTTCCATACGTCTTCTAAACACGGAAGACGCCTCATACGTTTCCTATACATAGAGGAAGTCCCATACGTATTCTAGACGTTCTCAACGTTCAACGTTCTTCTATTCACAGAAGACATTTCATATGCCTTCTATCCTTCGAAGACGTTGTGTAGTCCTTCTAATTTGTATTTACGTTTCTTTCAATTCCCTTAAAAGTTGGACAAAATTTTGTTTATCTGCAACTGAGCCACCGCGTTGAGCCGGATATTCCCAATCCAAGTCCATGCCATCAAAACCATGTCGTCTTATAAAATCCAATGATGTTTGAATAAATGTTTTACGTCTGGCCGGATCGGCAGCCATTTGAGAATATTTAACTGATCCCTCATTCCAACCGCCAACTGCTGCCAAAACTTTAAGATTTGGATTGGCATCCTTTAGGGCCATGGTACGTTTAATGAAATCTTTGAAAAAAAAAAAGAATTAAATTTAGAAGGTTTTAAAAAGGACCTATAAAATTCAACACTTCATACTTAAATCCATGTCCAACCAAGAATCCAACATCTTAAATGCTCCATTTTCCGTTATGCCAAAGAAGGAATAACTCAAATGGGTGCACAGCTGGGGATTTATATTTTCTGGTTCAAATTTACCCAGACCGGGACGATAGTTGGCCCAGGTGCCAAAGTAACAGTTAATTATTTTTCCTAAATCCAAAAACAAAAATTACTTTAAATTAAAAAGCACAAATAAATGGATAATGAAATATGACACTAACCATTGCAGCCAAATGCTCCGAGAAAACAGTATAGTATTACCAGTTGTGTTAGCAATTTCATTGTGTCTACTTATCGTTTAAAATGCTTGTTACCAAATGCCTTCCATAATTCGCTTTTATATACCTTTTATATATTCTAAAAAACATCATAAACGATTTCGGAAGTTTTTCTGGGTATTGTTTTTGCATTCTTATCCATTGTGGTCGTATGTTTTAATTGTGGCCATATATTCGAATCATAAGATTGCGGATCTATTGGGGATTCTTGTTTTGTTTGTTACAATATAAGATTTTCTAAATATTGTATTTCAAGGGAAGTGTTTCTCCATTATATTCAAAACCTTCATCGGGTGGACTTCATGCGTGAGATTTTTATACCCTCAACTATATAGCTAGAAAGAGTATATATCATTTGATACGGCCAAGACGTGCCTCATAGAAATAAGGGTTTAAGACTATAGGTCTATTTGGACCAAATCCGTTTCAGGACATTTGGTGTCGATTTAGCGATGTCTGTCCGTCCGTCTGTCTGTTTGGCTGGTGCGCACGATAACTCTCGAAGGGAGTATCCGATTTGATTCGAACTTTTTACATCGTAATATTATTGTCAAACTTTGATCGAGTTTGGAGATGAGCAATATCGGTCCACTCCTTCTGGTACCTCCCACACAAAATGTCAAAATTTTCAAAGAAAAAAAATTATTGCACAGAAAGAGAAAGGATAACACGATTTTGCTCCAACTTTCCAATTTTTTTTTTTTGCATTAGTGCTAGGTCAGGTGCTAAAATTGACAATGTCGGCCTATTCCATTAAGTACCTCCTCCACAAAGGGTTAAAATTTTGAATAATTAAAACACTTATAAAATGTGATGCAAGTGTTCGATTGTTTTCAAATTACACAAATCACAATATTCTCATTAACCCAAGGTCTGGTGTGAAGATGGAATATATCCACTCCTTCTGGTACCTCCCCCACAAAGGGTCAACATTTTGAGTACCCATTGAGATCATAAAAATTACGTCCGATTCCATTCATACTTGGTACATCTGAATGTTTCCAATAACACAAGATCTGTTATAAAGATGGTAAAGATCGGGCCATTCCTTATGGTACCTCCCAAACAAAGGGTCAAAGTTTTGAATAATAAAAACGATCATAAAATCCAAAATAAGCATCCGGTTCTCTTCATATTTCACACATCTCATTACTTCTACTAACACAAGATCGCTGTAAAGATGGTATGTATCGGTCCACTCCTTTTGATACCTCTCCCACAAAGCGTCAAAATTTTGAGCTCCTATTGAGCTCATAAAACGCGAAAATAACGTCCGATTCCATTCAGACTTGGTACATCTCAATTTTCCATCAACACAAGTTCTGTTATAAAGATGGTAGAGATCGGACCATTCCTTCTGGTACCTCCCCCACAAATGGTCAAAGTTTTGAATAACCAAAACTATTATAAAATCCAAAATAAACATCCGGTTCTCTTCATATTTCACACTCTCATTATTTCTACTGACACAAGATCTGCTGTAAATAGGGGATACATCGATGTAAACCATCTGGTACTTCCCCCACAAAGGGTTCGAAATTTTTAATAACAAAATGCTCATGAATCGCGAAATAAGCATCCAAATAGTTTCAAATTTCACATCCAAACATTTTTGCTAACGCAAAATCTGTTGTAAAGATGGTAGATTTCTGGCAAATCACCCACAAAGGGTCACGATTTCTTATATTTTTATATATATATAACAAATCGGTGATTCTATACAACTTGCTATATCTAAATATTTATCTTAACCAGAAATCTGATGTGAATATGTAATTTATGATTTCGTATAAAATTGAATATAAATGTTCGATTTCCTTCAAATTTTGCACATACCAATATTTTTATCTGTATTAGATAAATTGGATTATTTCGGTCCATTATATCTGGTACCTCAGATATATTTCAACATTTTCCAAAAAATTGTACATATCTCATATAAAGTAAAAAGTTATAGTCCAACTATGACATGTTGTAATATTTATACCAGACTTAGGATTGATACTGTTTCGAAGCCTCCTCCATAAACGGTAAACAGTTAGAATAATCATTACTCAAGGCTGGCAAAAACATCTGATTGGCAAAAACGTTTGTTTCTATTTAACTTGTTTTAATATAATAATCCTCCTAAGAGTCTATTTTTCTGTGGAAGATCGACCCTTCCATCTATTTTCTAGAGGATTTAAAATGTAAATACCTTCCAAATGCAGTTTCTTGCATTATTAATTAAATATTAAATATTATTAATTAAATATACAATATTAAATTGCATTATTAAGGCATTCCAAGGTTTTGGATGGTTTTTTTTAGTTACATTACATAATTCATTTTTTAACATCTAATCTACATTTTTTAACATCTAATTCATTTTCTAAAATTAAACCTTTACAAAGAGCGTTAATTCTACAATAGGGAGCATAGGTGTCGAACTGATTGTGAGTAATTGCAACATCTTTCCCTAGAATCAGAACATATTATGTATTTTATCTTTATACTTTATTTTTGCGAATAGCATTCGTGTTTTTTTAGTAAATAGTTTGCTCATTCAAACAAACAAAAAATCATTGTTATCTTCTAAAATATGATGGGCTGTTAAGATGCCAAACATTTTGCACAGGTAATGATTTGAACCACAAAACCCCACCTCCCGCAGGCCTTTCAAAAACGAGCTATCTTTTAACCTTATTTGGGTCATTGGCATATTTTGCAGGCTCCCATGAAATCAAAAAAAAAAATAAATAAATAAATAAATAAAAAGTTATCCACTCAACAACTCCATAGATTTCTCCTCGCCTTTCTTTTGAACTGCCTTATCTCTGTGGAATGTTTTGAATGAAATGATTCATTGACGATAAAAAAAGGGAATAGATACATCTCGAGAATTTTATTTCAAATATTTGTTACATTTTTTTTTCGCTTACTAATGAATGTTGCGCATTGTTTTCAACATTTCACCATGCCGGAATAGTTACAAGTTAAATTATTCAAATCGAAATACAGCGATGGTGGACACTGGAAGCTATGGGCAATGCCATTGTCGCAATAATAAAATTTGCCGCAATCATTGGAATCACGAATATAACCATATTTGCCCTGGCACTGCGATGTACCACTCGTCGCAACGTAATTTATATTCGAGGCCACATTCCCCATAGATTCTTTATTTTTATTGTTATTAATAATTAGATTTGCTGGTTTCTTCGGTAAGCCATTCGCTTCAGGTTTTGTAGGGGTGTTCGTTGGTCGATATACTCCACCATTTAAGATGTCATTGATCACATTTAACAATGGATATGGTTTCTTGCTGCAAGTCCCCCGGAAATCATCCGATTCTATGGACCATACCATAATACCGCCCAGATCTTCTTTAGCCACATAGTGTGCTTTCAATGCAATACTCTTTTCATTCTCATAGCCAATCCAATTACGATCACTATAGGCATAGGGCACTTTTTGTTGTGGTTCCCATTCCAAATGCCAGAGGGATTTTTCATGCTGTAATTTTTCACAGAACTCATTAAAGCCAATGACACCAGGCTCCACGGAATACTGGCCAGCCAATCCACGGCCAATATGCGGTGCACCCACTTTATTGTCATTCGGGTTTTCCAGTGTAAAGGAGCGCCCATAGAACGGCACACCTAAGATGAATTTTTCACGAGTGGCTCCTAGAAAAAATAAATGAGAGAAAATTTAATAAAGATATTGGGATCATGTGAATCCTTGACAGAGTCCTCTAAGGTTCCCGACTGTAGAATTAGAAGTCTCCACAAAGGCTTATGTCTGTTACTATATAGAACCCATGAAAGATGTTCTATCTTTTAAAGATCAAGGGTATAATACCTTTAGAGGGTATGCAATTAACAGAGGAGGTATTTAAAAAAATATAACTTTGAAGGGCATTCTATAAGAAAAGGCCTATCTATAAATAGAAGTTGTTTATATGTGTCCTATAAACTGAAAATTTATAAGTTTATATCTTTAGAACGTCTTTTAAAGGTCTTCAATCTGTAAAAGATGTATTGAAGGATATCTATTTAAAAATGACTCTTTGGTTGTATTTTTATCAATAGAACAAGTTTTGGAGGTCTTTTTTATAATGGTATATTGGAGGTCAATAGAAGGAGATTTATACGATACCTTCTTTACATAAAATATTGTATGGACGTCAGAATATGACGTTGTATGTAAGGGTTATATGGATCGAGAAATTTTCTAAAGGTCTTCAAATTAAAGGGGACATTTTGGATGATTGTATTTATATATGGTTATTTGAGGGTTTTCGATATACTGTATTCAATTGCAAGAGCTGCTTTCTACTCTTGGAAGTTCTTCTATCTGTAGAAGGACCGGGTTTCCATGGGGAGATGGACTTTGATTAGCTGCTAAAATTAGATTAGCAAGCTTTTTCTTCATGGGATACTTTCAATGTATGAAAGACTTATATACGATTTTATACCTGTAAAAAGTTTGTATGAGAATGACTTAAGGAAGACCTTCCGATGTTCGTTTATTAACATAAGACCTCTTGAAAATGATCCATTTAATAATGACCGTTTCCAGGACTTGAGTATGTTCCGACCATTTAAGGATTTATACGACTTTTTTAAGGTTTTTCTCTTCTCCTCAAATGTCTTCTAAACCCGGAATAACAGTGGAAAATATTTCAATCCGATTTACCTTTACTTAACCAATATTTGACAATTGCATCAACATTCATCTGCTTGGAATGATCAGTGGTATCTTGCGGGCCGGCATACAAAGGGGCATTAATACCCACCACCGATTCCCAGGGACCATGTAAATCATAGGCCATGACATTGACAAAATCCAAATATTTCATCATTTCCGGAATATCATATGATATGTCGGCTGAAGATTTTACAGAACCTACAGCTGCCGTCAAGAGATAACCGAATGGTTCCAAGCTGAAAGCAGGAAAAAATCAACTAAATAAATCCAAACATAAATACACCAACTTACCCCTCCTTCAATTCCTTCAGTAACTGCAAAAAATTCTCACGATCTTGATTTTCCAATTTGTGACGTTGTCCCGGATATTCCCAATCCAAATCGATGCCATCAAAACCATATTTTTGTAAAAATTGCACCACTGAGGTAACGAACTTCTCGCGCTTAGCTGCATCAGCAGCAACAATGGAAAATTTCTTCGAACCCTCGTTCCAGCCACCAACTGCTGCCAACGTTTTCAGTGTTGGATTCCTTAGCTTTAAGGCATTGAATTTTTTAATATTTCCACGTCCATAATTATCTTCCAGATCTAAATATGGATCTATAATTCTCAGCTCGCCACTTTCTTTAATGCCAAAGAAGGCGTACATCAGATGGGTACAGAGATATGGATCGATGTGAGTTTCTACATCAAATTTACCCAAACTCTGACGGTATGTGGACCAAGTGCCATGATAGCAGACAACGTTTTCTGAAAAGAAGGAGATATAGGTTTTGGATTTACTTTGAGGATTATTATTGCTAATCAATAAAACAAAAATTACAAAATTAAGGACAATAAAAAAAAAAAACAGTAAAAAAGTCTTAAAGTTGGACGGGGTCGACTTTATGATTCCCTACATCAATTTGCTACAAAGACATAGAAGTGTAAAGATAGGACAAGACAGAGTCTAAATATGGTAACCCTGTGAAAATACCTCTGTTGTTACGATATCATAACAACATAGATACCAATGTTAACTGATTTAAACCGCTAAGGCAATGTGCAAATTTTCGGAAAGGCCCTTGGAATAGAACTTTGAAACCAAAATTTTGGATTTTTCAAATTTTTATTTGTTATCCGTTGTTGTAATTGTGGTTTTTATATTAACATGTCTCTGCCATGAACTGTTACTCTATGTATTGTTGACACAAACCATTTGTTCAAAATGCATTTTGTCTAGTCTTTGTTTGCTAATTTAGTAGAGCTGCACATAACAATTAAAAGTTTTTATGCACAATTAATTTGAAATCGGATAAAGATATATATTGGAGCTATATCCAAATCTGAACCGATCTCGATAAAATTTAGCAAAGGTATTTCTGAGCTGTATTTGATATATTTCCCCAAATATTGTTGTTACAGAGTGCATATCACGGCTGCGGAGGACAAAAATAACAAATCGGATGAGCAATATATATGGGATATAATTTGACGAAGATATATATGGGAGCTATATCTAAATTTTTATCTATTATCTCCAATTTCAATAGGGTTCGTCCTTGGTCAAACAAATGATTTGTGCAAAATATCATCTGTATCGGGTAATAAATGCGAACTGTACTTTGTTTACCAAAATACATGGACAGACGGACTGACTGACTGACATGCATAGATCAACTCAGAATGTGATTTTATGCAGATCATCAAAAGGAACTATGGGTTTATCTCGCTTCCTTTTGCCTGTTACAAACAAATGCACAAAGACATAATACCCTGACCACCTTTTGGTGTAGGGTATAAAAATGAACCTGAAGGTCGAATATTGCCCTTCCACTTTAAAATGCTTTTTGGTTTGAAAATAGGCCAAAAATCGACATAATTAAGAAACGAGAATAATGTTCCTTTTCTGTATAATTTTTTGACTTAAATTCAAAATCGCAAAAACAAATACTTATGTCAAAGTCATAATGGAATGTAAAAAGGCTTCTAGTATCTATGGTGTATCAAGCATAGATACCAGCAATGATATGATGATTTTAAATATTTAATGGCTTCATCCATGCAGCATTTCAAATCACAAGTTTTTAGGAAGGAACGAACGAAATATATTAGGTACAAGGTCTATTCCCATATTATACTATAAAATAAAATCACTAACATATTATTAAATATCCTCCCAAATTCTCGTCAATATATATACGTATTTTGGAAGATTTTTATTTATTTTTTTTCGAAAGAATTCTTTAGATCGTTTCTTTCAAATTGCACAATTGTTTTTTTTCTTTTTTTCAAATGTAATTTGCCACAACAACTAGAACATACTTTTTTGCTTGGCCACAACTTTCGGCGTCTGCTGCCATACCACTAGAAATGATGTCCATAAAATTAGTTTTAATAACATTTTTGCCTTTTCCAAAACACTGAATAATAACTTTTTTGCCGTTAACTGTTTCGAATTGATATTACTACGTTTCAACTGAATCCAATTAAGTGCGAAAGCTTGTATTTATAGGACCGGTAGGTGGAACACACCTTTTAGACCATTATGTTGTTTTATACTTATTTACCCAATATAGACAAAGAACCTATCTCTACATAAACGATATGTCGATGCCAGGTACAAGACAAGTTATCAGAAAAATATAAAAAAATAAATAAAAATATATATTTTTTATGTACAAATGAATACATCTTAAAAAGTTTGATAAGAGTATGGGAAAGTACAAAATCAATATGAAAGCCAAGATTCATTCAAAAGATAAATGCATCTTCAACAAGAAAACAAAGAATTAGTCATACTATACTGTTTGCAATTTTAAATAGTGACCATCATCAAGGCTATTTAATTTCATGATGATTTTACAACATCATCAGAATTATGTTTTAGATAAGATAACAGTTGTGCAACCATTAAACAATGCATGTAGATATATATTTGCTCTTCTTCAGGTAGTCAATTACCTGTTGTTTCACTTGTGTGATCTTGTAATAACAATGAGACAATCACTTTTAACAAATAACATTAACTTTATTCTTGGAAATAAGTTTCCATTTCTTATAACTATGGATTAGAATTTCTTTAGTTTAGCCAATTGATTATTGCGTCTTAGGGCCATTTTTCTCAGTCGTCTCCAGTATTGTTTGGTATTTGGATCCATTTCTTCCAGCGGAATAATTCGATCGACATTTAATGTCCACAACCAATCAGGATATTCAGAGTCAGGTTTTAACTGAAAAAAAAATAAAAAGTTTAGAAATTTTTTTCAAAAAGAAAATATATACTTTTTTAAAATTTTATAAACAAGGCATACGATTAAGAAAGGAACAAAGTATACTTTTAGTACAACATTCTACTCAAATTATACATGGCTCAAATCTAATTCTTTATTACCAAAATATTATCTAAAATCTTAAAAATTCAAATGTTACGGTAATATATAGGTGTAAAGAAGAACATCAGTACAACTTAAAATGACCCCATAAGGTAAAATATTCGTGAGTAGAGGGTGTAATTATTTATTTTATGTTTCTCCGAGAAATTATGAAATAAAGGGTCTTTTACTGAACGAAAGTTTGACCAAGAACCCAATTCTAAGTTCTTTAAATAGTATAACCTCATTTTCCTAGATAATTTGCCGTAATTTGATATTTCAAATTCCTTAACAGTGGAAGTTTTTGATATAGCTACTCGGTTTGGCAGGATATCATAGATTTAAGTTATTTATAGGTCTAACACATATCTTTCAACTGATTTAAAATAGTTTTAAATAAAATTTGCCTTAGCAACTCCCATAATTCGGCCTAGATTTGTTTTGCCATTACAATCTCTGCTCCGTTTTAATCAAATTGAATGCCTTTTATTTTTATAAATTCCCATCAATCACCATTCCCATAGCCATCCCTTTAAACCCTTGGATACTTTGTATAGTATTCAATTCATTCATTGTCATAATCACCTCTAACATCCCAACTAATCATACCCACCTTAATATCTTCACCGGTCTTGTAGATATTACTGCCGCAAACATAATTAACCAATTTGTTGGCATCTGTTTCAACGGGAATAACTTTCTTTTCCATAATGGGTCCCAGTTTACCAAGTTTCTTTAGTTTCTTGGCTGTTGGGGGAGCTAAAAACAATGGGGCAGAAAACATGGACAAAAGATTCAGATACCATTCACAGAGAACGTTAAGGGGAAAACCTTACCAGCATATGTACGTATTAGAGTGGTGGTCGATGACACCAACATTTGTTGCCTCAGCACTTGCAGTGACATGTTTAGGCTATTGAATAAACTCATTTTTAATTATTTTTTTTTTAATAAAAATCTTCCTCCCGCAACAGAATCGTTAGTTGTTTTTACATAAACATAACCTCAAGTTAACGTAAAATGTCATAATATCTTAGAGTTGCCAGGTTTTATAAAAATCTTGGTGTTATCGCCGCTCTTTTTTTCTCGATGTGTTGACGTTTGGTTATTGGTCCATTTGTTGTGTGCCTCTCCTTTTTAATGGTGAAACCATGGTTAAAAGGTATTTGCAGAGCTACCATAAAAAGCTATAGCTGAGATATGGTAAAATTAAGAAGGTAAAATCATTTTCTGTAATTTACCTTGTCAAATTTTACTAGATAGATAACAGTTTCCCATCTCTGTTATGAGTATGTATAATGTATTTATAAGTATAAATTTTGACAATGAGATGTTGTCAAATTTATAACTTTGAAAAAAAAAATTGTGAACATATGATTGCATGACTTTACCTTCTTCATTCTACCATGTATAGAGCTGATAGATACAAAATTTTTTAGAATTGTTTAAAAAAAATTATAATCAATGATTTGAAAAATCTATAGCCTCCTATGCTTGCCTATGCGCAGATGTTAACCAGATTTGCTATGGAATATAAATATTCAACAGTTTAGATCATATATTTGGAGAGAAAATCCAGGCATTAATTTCGTTCATCTTTGGCGCTTTTTAATCGATTTTTAATGATATCAAATTGCAAGCATTTTTTAGGATAGCCTCTACTATTGTGTTACTATATTTTAGAAAAACCTCGTCCGCTTAATGGAATATTATCATTTTTTTATATGCTATATTTTGTATCAATTTCTGGAGTTGATATGCGGCAATTGTAGTGCTTTTAATTCTACAAACATTTTGCCTTTCAGCCCGACATAAAAAATACCGAATACAGTTTATAGAAATGGGCCATCTCTACTATCTCAAAAAAATTCTTCATATGCATTTTAATAACCTGAAATTTGGCAACTCTACAATTTAAATGTCAACGAAAATAAATATTTTGGGAAAACAGCTGATATGACTGCTGCTGCTTTTCTTCTGCAAAAGACCGGCATTACATACATTTTATATTAAATAAGAAAATTAATAACAATAATTAGGTATAAATAAAACAAAATGCGATTCCCTTCAAATAAAACATTGGCTAAATATGCTGTCTACATTGGTATAGCCGGCATTTCAAGTGTCATGTACATGAGATGGAAAATCGAGGAACGTATACGTAATGCTGAATATTTTCGTTCGGCTTTCAAGATTTTGAGGCAACATAGAGGTAATTACAAATAAATATGTAGAAACATATTAATAAACGACGTACTTTCTTTTTGCTTTCCCCTTAGGAGCTGTAAGCCTATTGGGTGAACCCATAAAAGATATGGGCTTTGATATAGGTGACTCGAATAATTCATGTGATGGCCAAACGGCTAATTTTGAAGTATCAGTTAAGGGCTCCAAGGAAAGAGGTAAAATGTTCTTTTCGGCCATGCGCAGCGATGAAGCTGGTTGGATAATAAATCGCCTGGAGTTGGAGCTAAAATCACAGCCCGACAAAAGATTTATAATACAAACGCCAACGGAAAATTCTGCACCATCTAATGAATAGTGAAACCAAACGTATTTATTTAATCTAATACGAAATATGTACTGTTAGAATTCTTTTTTTATTATTATTGTTATAAATAATATTGCATTTGGTTTATGATTTATTTGACTAAATAAATGCTTTTTATTATCTATATACGATTTCTCAATAATACTGGAGTTGAGAAACAAACATCAGAATATACTTTCAATATGTCCTTCTTCGGTAAGAAAGGTCATTGGAAGCACTATATCTTGTGTCTTAAATGCATTCTTGCCATAAGTAGGATCACATCTGTGAGAAAGAGTCCTAAGAAGCATCCTTTCCATTATAAATGTATATTGATTGAAACGCTCTTCCTTTCAAATTGATCTTTAGAGGCATCATCTCTATAAAATTGTTCATTATTAGCGCATTGTAAAAAAGAAAGAAGTCAAGACTTTTTCTAAAATGTCCTTAGAAAGAAATGATTCTTACAAGCACGCATACATAAAAATATTATCTTTAGGGCCAACTCTTTGAAGAATTCAATGCCTTTCTAAAAAAACTATTTTGAAATTTTCTTACAAAGCTCCTTTTTATAGGAAAACTTACTTATTTACTGTCCCCTTTTTGCAATTATGCCCCCAATGTTTAACAAAAACAACATATTTTAACATTATTTTTCGTTTATTTAATCTAAACGTGTTTTATTTATATAATTATTTTCAAATTGTATTTATTTAGTATTTTTCTTTTATAGGGAAGGGATTGTTTTTTATTTATTTTTAATTAATTTAATTTATAATTTTTAAGATACATGTTTGTTTTTGACAAGAGAAGGTTGTTGTTGTTAGTTTGTTTTCACGTCAAGAGGAAGAGAGGATGGTTGTTTTTTTTTTTATTTTGTTTTGTATTAATTTGGGGGTGGTTTAAAGTTTTAAAAACTTGTTGGTTGCATGTAACTATCCTTAAGGAGGTTGCACTAATATATATGTTTATTATTTTTATCGATTTGTTGTTTTTGTTGTTTGCATTTCTATAAACAAAAGTAAACGGACCATTTTTTCATATGCACACAATTACAAAGATTTATATAAATATTTTTATAAAAAAAAACTCGTATAAAACAGTTTTGTTTTCTCTTTTTTTGTAGCTTTTTAGTTGTTCGAAATAATACAATAAAAATAAAAATGTAATGATAATAATTATGTATGTATAGGTATGAAATGTTTAAAACAAAATATAAAAATTTATATGCATTTGTATATTGTTGATGTTCGCTGATAGTGTTGCTGGTTTTTGCTTTTTAAGTTTTTTTTTTGTTGTTATTATCTTAACATCACTAATCAGAATATATTTTATAAAATTGTATACTATTAAGTTTCAAAAATAAAAAAAAAAATTAGCAATTAATAAAAAATGCTTTATACTGCTGTTTATTTTGTTTTCTTCTTTAGGCATTACTTGCGAACTTAAAAATCTAAAGAAAAATAATGATACCAAATAATTTAGTTTTTCTCCGATCAACAGGCGGCTGACTTTAGGCTTCACAATAAGGGGATAGGTTGGGGTGGTGTTTCAGCTATGCATAATTGATTGAACTTGATTTTGGAAACAATAACATCATATATATATAAATTAATATATATAGAGTTCCTATATATTTTTTTTCTTTTGCTATAACAAGAGGAACCATTGAAACAATGACAATATCGTTGTTGTTCTGTTTTTATGTGTTTACTGATTTGTTGCAATTGCAATGGCTATACATGGATGCTATTATTCCAACTCACATTGCAATTCCATTTCATTTTCCCAGAGGAAGACTGGTTGGCCTCTTTAGTAGAACTATTGTTGTTGGTAGTGATGATGACAATGCTGTAGATGTTCTTGTTGTAGTTGATTGTGAAAATGTTTGGTGCGGCTGCAGTTCAGCTTCCGCCATTTGCTGTCCTTATTGCGTTTTCAGTTCTTTGCCAATGCTATACGAAACTATTTTGGTCCAATCAATTTTAGTTCTGGTTATGGGTAATTGACGCCGCATAGCCTTGAAGGTTGTATCCGACATTGTTTGATAGTTCTCTGAAATTGCCAATTGATACTCGTTTTCGGCATCTTCAATGAGTCGTATTATCTCCTTGGCCATTTGCTGTTCATTGGTAACTGCCACCGATTCGCGGCATTCTTTCGATGATACCAATTGTACATTACCATCTTCGTAGTAATGGACCTAGGAGGAAGGAAAACCAGATGAGAAAAAAGATATACTGCGAAGACGAAGCAAGTACTCACTTGCACTTTTAAAACACCACGCAATTCGGCATTGCTTGTGCCCGGTTGAAATGTAACACTCCACTGTGAACGCCATCTTCCATTCCAATAATTCTTCGGTTGAAACTGATGGTCCTCAATGCAAATTGTCAATGTTATTTGACCGGCATGGGTTTTGCCGAATACTGAACACACCTGTGAACATAAAACATAAATAGGTTATTATGGAAAGAAAAATAGATGTAGAGTTATACAAAAATTGTGTACTATGCAACTGAGTGGAAAAAATGTACATCTTCCCGAAAATCTTGAAAATTCTTTAAATGTCGGAATAAACGTTAGGTGAGTCTGGTTACCGAAAAATTTGTAACAATTGTTGCAAATTCTTACTCGGAGTCATCTGTTAAGACAAAAGATCTACAAAGGAGAGGTTGACAAATCTTGCTGGACAAATTTCTTCTTGCAATCTTCTTCTTCTCCTTTCGGGGATGTATATTTGAGCAAGAAATTTTAAAACATAATTATTTTGAAAAACGCAAGAACAATTGTTTTATTTTTCGATTCACTTTTTTGTCGAGGACAAATTGCTTTGTTTTGATAAATCAGATGATTGCTTGCAAGTTTTTGCAGGTATTCCGTCTTTTTACTTCTCACAGTTTTCTTGCAAAAGAGAATAAAACCACCTCACTCTCTCAGAAAGAAGTTGCTTGACAGTTACTGTAGGAAAAGTAACCAGACATACCTATTATTTAAGATAGATGATCCTACATATAGGCAAAGCCCCCTCGCGGTATTTCAAGTATCATATCGTTTTTTAAACTTATTGATTTAACCAAAGAATAAGAAAAAGCTTAGCAAATCTAAAACACAATTATTTCGACTACTTACACCATGTCTATAATGGCTTGCAGTGTAGGCCAAAGTTTCAATGTCTAATGCAGCTCTCCATGGCTCTGCTGGAGAGTCGGCTTCCAATTCCTGATAGTCGCTAGCCTCCTTTCTTAAATGGTCATACTTAAATGACTGTTTAGTGCGAGGATCATAGAAACGGCCACTACCTGTAAAAAAACAAAGAAATTTAAAACATATACCACCATTTTTTATCGAAAAAATTAAGTAATCATCGGATTTAAATCAATTGAGTCATAAGAAAAAAATAAAAAACAGCAGCACTGCTGTTTGTTAATACTTTTTCGTTCTTGTCAAAACATTGCCCCCCACTACACTAACCCCTATCAACATATATCCAATGATCACTTGTAACTTTTCCACCATTTCCACTTACCTAAATCATTGTGTTCCGAAATTACTGCATTATGCTCACTGCCCTCGATGCGTACAGGTGTCAACTGATCTTTGTTGTACTGGGCAAAGGCGTGGCTAGCACCTTCTTTCAAGAGTGCATCATTCTTCAACAACTCACGAACGTCATTGAAAACTTCATTAAATTCACCCGGTGGTGCGTGAAGAATGAAATCCGATACAATGCGAACTTTTTCGGCGTCAGTAATTTGTGTGGGTTCCATTTCTGGCTGGTGATGGTAATTCTATCCTATATTTATATCTTATTTGTACGTTATCTCCTTTCTTGGCCGTTTTGGTTTTTTTCTCTTGTTGGTTACTTATGTATGTTGTTGTTGAAAAAGGTGCAACTTTTTCTTTGGTGGCAACCGGAAAATTTTTCTAACGAAAACACTCCAATAAATTATGTAAAATCTCGATTATAGTGAAAGGAGGTTTGAGATATTTTTAGATTGCAATGAATTACACCAAAGTAACATAGGAATTTTGGGCTATCTTCCAAAAATTCTTACTTTTATTGTTAAAAAAAATTACTGATGACAAATCTGTTTGGGGATATGTAGGTCGACTTCCGTCTAATACGAAAAAGCTGCAACACTGATGGAACGCATTTTGTTTTGGTGTACTTTGACGTTGCCATATAACAAGATCTGCATTAATTTTAAATATTTTTATGGTAAATTAAAATAATATTTTCTCATAAATTAAAATAATATTTTAAAATCAGATCCAGCAGTTGACCACATGATAAATAAAAACGTAAAACATATATTGAGAATTCAAAAAACCTCTACAAATCTTAAGATCTGCATTAATTTTAAATATATTTATGGAAACGAAATCAAATACTTAGCATAAATTGAAATAATATTGTAAAATTAAAAATTAACTGACCAATGGATTAATAAATATTTTCTTTGAGAATCCAGAAAACCTCTGCCAACATTAATAGGATTACCTTCCTTCGAAATAATTTATTTGGGCATACCGCAGACCTTCACAAAAAAAAAAAAAAACAATTACGATATCCTACACTGAATAGATCAATTGTTTACAACTTCTGAATCCATTATAATAATCGATTCAGAAAGTGATCTTTTTCACTCAACTCATTTTTTATAAACCTCTGCAAGAATTTCAAAAAGTAACAAGTTTTATTGGGGGGAAAATATATATGTTTTTTTACATGCACAGTTCGACTGCCAACAAGCAATTACATTTTCTCATAGGTTTCGGTAAAATTACAAGTTAAGCAGGTGTGAGTATATGTATCATCTTCTTCATTGTAGGTATCTTCACCGTATTCATGGACATGAGCTGATTTTGTTTCCTTGGTATACAAACTACTTCGCACTTCCATTCGCAGTTGCTTCATTTCTTTATTATATTTACGTATCTTTCCAACCTCTCGCTTCTCAATGCGATGTTCATGTTGCTTCATCAGCTCCTCCTCACTTCCCCAGACTTCTAGTGCTCGTTTTTGTACTTGCAAATGTAAATAGAGTTTCATTTCACCCCAACGAATATTGTGTGGATTTTTTCTACTGATATAACGTAATGGAGGATCTCTTTTATCAAAGTCGCAATCCTTTAACAAGTATTCTGCTTTTGCTTCGGTTCTTGTGATCAAGGAGTGTTCACCATCTTGGTCGCGACATTTGTCACAAACAGAGTGACCGAAATTGTTCATAAGAAATGAATCGGCAAACATTTCTCCACATTCCAAACATTCGTCGTATTTCACAGGTATGTTAATGGCATCGTCCACCAATTTGGGTGCATCTGTTTCCTCCAATGGACCATTAGCCTGGGAAAGTTTCGATCCAGTTGCTGGTTGTTCAATTAAAAAACCACCACCGCTATCTACATATTTTGTTCCTTGAACTTTGATAACTGAGCTGTTGCTTTCGGGACAGTTGACATCTCTAAGGGGGAGATACAACATGGTAAATAGGGTAATTCATGATATGGAGTGCTTAAAAGACAGTAAAATAGATCTTTATGTCAAATGAAAGCATCAGTAAAACCTTATCTTCTTTTTAAAATATTATCAAGTGGTAAGAATTTTTCCCTGATTATGTGAGTCTTTAAAGAAACTAGCAAACTTGGGTAGGAAAACGGACAGATTCGGTCTTGTTAAAGTAAACCTCATTGATACCCTCCTATTCCAGAAATGCACGAATGTAAAACTTTAAACTACAATAGCTAAATTTCTTCTTAACATATCGAAAAAAGCAAAAACGGTAGATTCTTACAGGTTCTGGAACAGAGCAATTGTCATGGCTATTGTGAGTGATTCTTTAATAAATAAAATTGCACAAATCCAACCCATACTGTTCTACTCAAAAACGCTTGTACTTACTTTCGTGCCAGTGCATACGGATGGCTTACTAATTTAGCTTGCCGCAAACTTAAAGCCTTTGCACGATTTCTTTCTATGCGTGCCTTTTGAGCTTCTGTTAGTTTTTTCTCAGATACTTCGGTCTCAGACATTTTTTATTTATTTTTACGCGCAAATAACTGTTTCTGTTTGCTTTCGACAAGATTTCGGTATAAACAAAACGGCTTCTTCTTCTGCGTGTCGTTTTGGTTCATTCACAAGAATTGATAACACGCGGTCTTGTAGGGCCTTACACATTATGTAGGGTATACACTAGCAAGCAAGTTCATCGATATAATGACGCCTACATACTATTATGCCGTAATGCAACTGCCGATGGATTCTTGTGTTGGTATGTAGCAATTTCATGGATCAATAGTTTTTATAATAAAAAAGGATTTTTAATAACAAATTCAAAATATAGCAATAAAAAAAGATGTTAAAATTGTTAGTGGGTAACAGGGTAGAAATATAAAGGGTGAAGCAGGGCCTCAATTCTTGTTCTATAAAAATGTGAAATGAAAACTTTTATAAAGAAAAGAAATTTCAAATGAAAAATTTTATCAAGGAAATATTTTTCATTTCATACTTTCATAGAACTAGAATTCAGCTCCAGGTCAAAGCTAAAATCGTATCTTCAACGTGAAAAATCAACACTTTTGGCATTTTTGACAGAAGAAATGTGAGCCACAAAATACAACAATGTACTTTCCAGAATTACATACTATTCTTAACTTATACAACATTATCGAGTAACAACATGGAACTTTCAATTAAGGAATTCTCAAAATGTACAAATTAACGTTCCTCCAGTTCGAATTTACGGAGTCTGGAGTTGTTTACCAGATTCACTGAAAATGGTTTCTTATTCTTTTTCTACTTTTAGAAAGAAAAATATATATAGTCGGCTAGTAAGTCCATCAGACCGGATCTCTTCTTAATTTTATCATGTGTATAATTGACCTTCAAGTCTTTTTATGTACTGAAATCAAATAAAATTAACAATTTTTTTAGGCTGAGTAGACATAGTAGCATGGCAGAAAAATACAGGTAGATGCATCAACGCTTGGGATGCATCAACGCTTAGAAAAATATTTTTATTTATTTATGGCTTTCAGGCATGGTACAATAAAAAGGTAAGGTAGAGCTCCCAGCTGATTACAATTTTCTCTAAGTGTCGGCAAATTTCTGCCAATTTTGTGTCTGTATTTGTTGTTTTGAAAAATAAAAGCAAAATAGTTTCAAAATCAATGATAAGAAGAAACTTAAAATGGGGGCGCGCCTTTTTTCATTCATCTTTCGCTCTATTTGACTCATTTTAGAAAGGAACAAAAAATATAAAATAAATGAAAAAAACTTGTTGGCTATAATTTTGAATAATTCTGACAGGAAGCGGACATCGCCTCAGAGGTGTATTTCTGTTGTTTTACGAAGCTGTTCTACCTCCTTATTGTACCATGGCTTTCAGCTATCCAAGCATGATGTATTTTTTGCGCTTGTTGTTTAGGCAATATTTCATTTCCTTGATTCTTTTGAACTTAAATATCTCGGTGAGAATTTAGTTCCAATGGATAATAGTAATCACGTAACCAAAGAGACGAAAATTTAAACATGGGCCCCACTTATCGTTCCATGAAAATGTGAAATTAAATCCTTCATAAAGAAAAAAATTATTTAATTTATTCATAGAATAGGAAACCAGTGAGAATAACTATAACGTTTACACAAACGAAATCCAGGGGAAGTCAAATAAAATGTTATCTATTTCAAATTTGACGTACGTACGTTTTGGCCGTGGTAGAATTATAAAGGTAAAGTCGTGCAATCATGTGTTTATATTTTTTTCAAAATAATTCATTCGACATTTTCTACACAGTATAATTTGACAAGGTAAGTTACAGAAAATGCAGAGATGGATATGCTTATTTAAAATGATTTTACCTTCTTTATTCTACCAATCTTCTGGATTTCATATATGTATGTAGAAAAATCCAAATGTTTAAACTCATGCAGTCACATTTTTACCATTTTTTTTAATTATTCATTTGACAATATCTCATTGTCAAAATGTATATTTATGAATTCAGATATGGGAACCGGTTTTCTATGCAGTGAAATATGACAAGATAAATTACAGAAAATGCAGAGATGGGCATGCTTGAAACAGGTTCATAAAATGTCACATGAAATTTTCTTATTGCCTAAAAAAACATTTTGTAAACAATATCATTTACATTATTTAAGTATATAGCTTTATACATAAATATTAAAAAATACATATTCTTCATTGGGTTCCGGTTTGGATAAATTGTTCTTATTCGTCGCCACCGTTCTCTGCATCTGTTCAACACATGCCAAACCTCTGCTTTGTATCAGTAACTAACTCAGCCCAAAAATGCCTACTTATTGGTGGCCACCCCTGGTTTGGGTGGTTGTATTATTATGCTGCCTTGATTGCTGAGAGGGTATATAATTGACTGCGTCGCATGCAAGCGTTTGTATCCATACCCTCCTTATGTGTGTGTGTGTACAAACATATACATACAACAACAACAACACCCGACGTCAACTGTAGCCGAACGTTCAAAGCTACATGAAATTAACAGCCGACAATCACTTCGTCTGCCAGGCCCAATTCAGTTGCGTTCAGTCCACGTCGGCGTTTACGTCTTCGTTCGGTAAATGGTGTGCTCGTTCTCGTCGTGCCGACAGTAGAATAGAGAAAGAAATTACTTGTACAAAGCCAAAAGAAAACAACAACAACAGCAAAAAAGAAGAAAACATCATAAACTGTGTTTTTTACAATTGGATTTCTTCTTCGTGTGAACGGAAAAAAGAAAAACAAATTTTGTGGTTCAAAATAGCGAGTTCGCTGTGCAGTAGCAGTAGAATAGTGCCCATCATCACCTAATCATTTCCGTCGAGGAAGAAAAAAATAGCACTCATTGACGTTGCGGTGTATACCACTACAGCGGATACAGCAGTCACTGGTACAGCCAGCTTACTTTTTTTCGTCGCTGTCTTTTTGATGATAGGAGAACCATATTTTAGGCGCTTAACTTTGCTGCATCGTCGCCAACAATTGGAAAACAAAAGAAACGGCCACTGAGGCAGCAGTCATCATCATCATCAACATCATTCTTATCAGAAGAAAGGCAAAAAAACCTAAACAAAAACAAAGAATTGCAGCAGCTTTCGTATTCCAGCATAACAAAGGGAGACTGCAACAACAACGGCGACGATTCTCTCAAAATGGATGCCAAAATTGATCCAGCTTTGGAACAGCAGTTCGACTTGAATCTAATCGAGGCTGTTAAAATGAATCCAGTCATTTATGACCGCTCGCATTTCAATTACAAACACTTTGTGCGTAAGGCCCAGACTTGGAAACAAATAGCCGAATCTTTGGGAGTGCCAGGTGAGACCTTTAGGGCAATTTTTTTTCGAAGAGCCCATGTGTCAACATATTTGGTTAAACAAAAAGACAAGCATTTATCCCTCCTGATTTTCCACAGACATGTAGATACCTTCAATATCTGTGGCTGTCCTCGTTTTACTCAGCTTATTTAAGGTTGCTTTTTTTAACGTTTTATTATTGGTTCTGTAACACATACATGCACACACACATCTGTACATTTAAATTATGTGCTGTATGCAAACATGAAATTTAAAATCCATTTGTATCTACAACAAAAACGGGTTGGGAGTAACATACGTTTTTGAAACTATCACGACAAACGCACACCAAAAACACACACACATGTACATCCATTTCATTGAATATAACCCCCCCTCGCTTCTTAATGTAAACCACATATTAACCCTCTTATTAATTTTTCGTTTCCCAAGAATCGAATGTATTTATTAGGATTTTTAAAACTAATCGCCATACGATACAATTCTCCGTCTAACATGAATGCAATAACTGTTTAGTCTTTCAATCGAATTGAAACAGCCAGACTACGAGGGTTTCTCGTAGAAAAATCGAGTTTATTTTTGCTGCTTTGCTCTGTAATAACAATAACAGCAACGACTTGACTTGTTCGTTCACTGGTGCTGTGGAGTGCTGATAGATTTTTAGGTTAGAGGAGAAAGCATTTGTAGTGGCAGAGAAGAGGGTAGCCAGAAACAAGCTAGCTAAGCGAGTCGGGCAGAAACACAAACGACAAAGTCGCTGTGTTGTGTCGCTTCTGCCAGTTATTCATGCATGTGTTTCTGTGTGTGTGTGTGCGTCTGTCTGCCTGTTCGTTCATGTACATCTGTCGCTTTCATTTACAGTGCCAACCACCATTACGAGCTGACTGACTGCTGCCGAACGTCGTCCGTGTCGCGTTGTGTAGTAGTCGTCAGCCAGCTCATGATGGTCGGTTTGTCGTCTCTTTTCGTGTGTTCATCAACGTTGTTTTTTAGCGCAGCTGTACTTTTTATGTGCTGTCTATATTTTGTTTTGACGTTATCGTATTCGTTTGTTGTCAATTGTTGTTGTTTTTTCTTTTTTCAGTCTGGCTCTTCTACACTCTTGCCAGCAGTACCAACATCATAGCTTGTTATTCAACGTAACGTCGTAGGGGGTGAATATTGCACGTGCCGTATGTTTAAAAAAATGCTGCTTCCCTAGAAATGCACCTCCAGCCTGAACAATGGTTTTATAGTCAGAACAAGGATGCAGCGCAGCTAAACATTATTTTTATTTCTCTTGTCATTTGCAGCGCCTGAACGCATCAACATGTTTTAGTAGGCAGCAGATACCAACCGATGCTTTGGTTATCGTCATGACGGAAACTGAGCTAAATGTCACATGGATTCTATTTGTTGGGATAGGTTGGAATTGGTTTCCGAAAGATGTGAACACTAGAGGAGTGTTTTGTTTGCCAAATTTGTTATTTTTATTCAAGTCCAGCGGGTATGAAACAAAGTAAAATACAAGGCTTTCATAAGGACTTTGATATTTTTTTCTAACCTCCACTTTGGAATGAAGGGTTTATTAACTTCGTATTTCCGTTTGTAACATCCTCTAAATATTCATCGTAGACCCCATAAAGTATATATATTCATAATCAGTATAAAGCTCTAAGTCGATCTTATGATGTTCGTTTGTCTGTCGAAATCAAAATACAGCCTTCACACACATTATTTGACGTAGACCTTCGAAACTTGGCAGAACAATTTGTATTGTGTCTAGGATGGTTGGTTTTGAAAATGAGATATATCGGTCCACCCTTTGGTGTAGCCGCCATATAACGGTTCCTCCCGATATTGTGTACTTTGATGATTTTTGCCACATTTTTATACCCTCCACCTTGGAAAGGAGGGTATAATAACTTTGTCATTCCGTTTGTAACATCCTTAAATATTCGTCGTAGACCCCATAAAGTATATATTCATAATCAGCATAAAATTCTAAGTCGGTTTAACGATGCCCGTTTGTCTGTCTGTCTGTTGAAATCACGATACAGCCCACCTTTTTTACGTAGAGCGCCAAAATTTAGCAGAGCAATTTGTATTGTGTCTATGATGGTTGGTATTGAAAATGAGATATATCGGTCCACGTTCTGGTATAGTCCCCATATAACGTTACCTCCCGATATTCGGTATTTTGATGATTTACGCCACATTTTTTCACGGATTTGTCTGAAAATTGGTAATTGTAGGTCATAACGGGTCCCTGTGCGTGTGGCAAAACATTGCATGTATAGGTCCACGTTTTGGTATAGCCCCCATATACAGGTACCTCCCGATATTCGGTATTTTTTTTCCACATTTTTTCACGGATTTGTGTAGTTCCAGCTCCGGTGGCGAAACATTGCATGTATGGGTCCATGATTTGGTATAGCCCCCATGTAACGGTACCTCCCGATATTCAGTATTTTAATAGTTTTTGCCAGATTTTTTCACTGATTTGTCTAAAAATTGGTATTTGTGGGTCATAATGGGTCCTAGTTCGTGTGGCGAAACATTGTATGTATAGGTCCACGTTTTGATATAGCCCCCATATAACGGTACCTCCCTATATTCGGTAATTTGATGATTTTTGCACCATTTTTCCCCCGGATTTGCCTGAAAATTGGTATTTGTAGGTCGTAATAGGTTCTAGCTCCTTTGGCGAAACATTGCATGTGTAGGTCCATGATTTGGTATAGCCCCATATAACGGTACCTCCCGATATTCGGCATTTTAATGGTTTTGCCACATTTCTTCTAACGTTTCCTTACCCTAAGGTGGAGGGTATTAAAAGTTTGGCCCGGTCCGCTTTGTTTTTTTTTTAATTTTTTTTATTATTAAATTTAGTAGTCAGTCCACTCACATAATTGTGACAATATCTTATAAGTGTGAAGCTAGAAAATTTCCCTTAAAACCGCTCACAGTGTCCCACTCTGTTCTGCATACCTAAATAATAACATTCCATTTAATATATATTTTTTTTCATTTTATCATTTTCAGAACAAAAATGTACAAAACGTTGGAAAAGTCTGCGTGACAAATTTGCACGTGAGCTGAAAATAAGCCAAGATTCACGATGGCGTTACTTCAAACAAATGTCATTTTTAATGGAATCCATACGTCAGTATCGTGAATCACTATTGGGTAAAGTATCATCGGCCGGCATACAAGGTAACACCACCAACACAGTTACGGCACAAGTGGAGGCGCCACAACAAACCCATCAACATCAACAGTCACAGCAACAAGTGGTCGATTTGTTTACGACACCTTTTAATGGCAGTGCTACCATAACCACACAATCCCTGACAGGACATCCACATGGTAAGTGTTTACTCGTTGTGCCTTCTATGCTGTCGTCAACGATTTAACACTGAACTCTCTCCATCTCCTCTCTTACAGCCATCTTGGTTACTGGCGACGCTGCGCAATTGGCTGCTGCCAACAATGCTGTTAAAGACCAAAAGACCTACTATTATGAGCCGGTGATGAAACGCGAACGCATTGTTGAAGATGATCAGCAACAACAGCAGCAGCAGCAACAACAGCAACAGGCAGCGCAGCAACAACAACAGCATCATTCCGATATGCTCAGTTCCATAAAAATATTCCAAAACAGCATTAGCCAAAACGTGAGCGCCGAAGACCAATCTTTTGGCGTGGTTGTCACCGATATGTTGAATACGCTGGGCGTAAGACAGAAAGCAGAGGCCAAAGTTCATATAATAAAATATCTCACCGACATGCAATTGCTGGCTCAACACAACAAATACTGAGATACGGTTATAACATTAACAGATAAAACATGCACAACAATGTTCTCATTCGTGCCACATCACTCGGCCACAGACAACAAAGCCGTCGTCACCGATGCTACAAATGGTGCTGCGGATGTGGGAAGGCAGGAGCTAGAAAATACAGACAACTAAGAAAAGAAGATTTAAACAGAACATTGGCATGCAAAAACTATCATACTAGTCAGAGATCTTTTAAAAAGATGTAAAGACTAGAGATGGAGGAGGTCGGCGCAATTGCAACTTTTATTTTCGATGTCAGGCCGTGTGATATATATATATTTTTTTTGCATTTGAAAAAGGCAACTATCCTTATGTTATGATGTAATCTATACGAGTGATGCTTCACACAGAGAATACTAATAGTACTGCCATATACACAACATATAAAAAATGAGATAAAAACAATTAATGTGCTGGGTTTTGTATTGTATTTACAAAGCAATACCACAATACAATAACAATCATAATGTAAATACCTATTTTATAACTTTTACTTTTAAGATTACCTAATATTGTATCTTTATATTAGACGTTAAGTATTTAATATTAGAAATAGAAATACATACTGATGAATATGTAGACAACAGTTTGTGTTTTATTTTGTGTTGTATTCCCTCCCGTACTTCAAGTAGTAGAAGTGTTTAAGAGCTTTGAAGTCTGGAATAGTTCCAAGAAATGTTGTTAGATGGCACACTGGCGTAGTCAGGGGAAATTATAAACAATGTGACAACTTAGCGTTAATTTTTCTAAACCAAAATATTAGCCAAACAGAATTTGACAATGCAGAACATATTTTACTCGGCCTCCTAATTTGTGAAATATATATTTTTTTCAATTTCTATGTAAATGGGATTGTACTGCAGTTGACTGCAGTTTTGTTAGGAGTTTACGATTTAAATTTAACATGGCTGTTACAGTCAAACATTCTTAATTTAATTGGTCATCCATTGCTAAAAAGTCAAATAAACTCTTAAAATATAGATATGTGGTTGACAGTATCAAAGACACAAAACTATAAAGATTGGACAAAATGCATATGACAAAGACATATAATATAATAAGATGGGACCAAAGACATATAATATAATAAGATGGGACATTACATTGTTACTTTTCTTCAATAGATGGCGTTGGTAGTGTAAAAGTATGTTATGTCACGATATCGTGACATAGCATTATGTTATAGTTTAACAGAGCTGACACTTTTTAAGGGTTGTTGTTGATTTTTATCGATACAATATACAAGGAAATGCTCTGGAATAGATTTTTCAGAGCATGTCTATCATAGCTGATATTTTTTCCGCGTATTTCCGCCAGTTTTCGGGGATATCGGAATAATATATTTTTCTAAAATTTCCAATGCATTTCTGTTAAGTCGCCTGCCCTCTATTACCTGATAGAAAAATTAAAGTCCGTATGCATTTTGTCCAATCTTTAAAGTTTTATGTCTTTGTTGCATATGACCATTTAGTTATTCTATCAGGTAACAGATGGCAGACGTCCCGACAAAAATGCATTAGAAATATTACAAAAATATGTTATAGCGAAAAATGAATGACGGAAAACGGCGCAAAAGCAACAGACATGATATACATGGGCTCAAAAATCAATTCCACAGATTTTTCGATTATATTGAACCGATAAAAATCAGCGCAATTTCTATAAATATGTCAGCTCTGTTATATTACAACATAATGATATGTCACGATATGGTGACATAACATATTTTTGCGCTACCAACTACATCTATTGAAGCAAAGCAATAATAAAATATCCCATCTTATTATATTATATGTTTTGACATTATTTAGTCCGTGGTTAAAGCGTCTCATAGCAGTGGTCATCTATTGGTGAATAGAAAAATAAACTATTAAAATTAATTATAGAACAGTGTTACCAACAGTAATTACCTCATTACTTGGGGTTGTCATTTCGGTGTGATTAGCACATACACCTCGGACAGTTGAATTTTCAATGTTAACATGTGACGACATCTATATGTGATTGTTATTTCAATGAAATTTAGTAGATATGTAAACCAAATATGGCGCTGATGTTAAAAAAGTCGATAAATCTAAAGGAAGAGAGTCGATTATTATCGGCCATAAAACTGGAGAAAATGTCATGCGACGATATTTTAACATTTACTTTAAGTTTTTCCAACAGCTTTTGTTGCGAGATAAAAATAGTGTAGTAATATGCCAACGTTAATTTTGATATGAATGATATATTCATCACACATATCCGTTTCTTTTTTCTATATCTTTTTACTTATTGGCGTTTTTCTGCCTACATATCTCTGCCGCCTGCAAAACTAATAGCGTGCCGCCGCCTTAAAAAAAATCGTACCGCTTCGCTGTCTGCTACTGCACGTGTAAAGTGTTTATTTGTGTCCAGAGGATAGTCTCAGATCTTGGAAATTGTAGGATAACCGGCGCTCAAGATGACCTTATCGGAGAATAATTCTCCCAATGTGTCCGACAATGAAGCCGGACAGGAAAACTCTGAACAAAAGGCACGAAAACGGCGTAATCCATTCAAAATACAAAAGGACAAGGAGGAAAAGGAACGTCGCCAGAAGAAACGTGCTCGTTTAATTGTCCGTAATATGAGCTACAAAGCAAAGGAGGAGGATCTTCGAAAACATTTCGAACAATGGGGGAAACTTGAAGAAGTAAATATTCCAAAGAGGGCAGATGGAAAATTGGTCGGCTGTGCCTTTGTCCAATACGAAACAATTAATCAAGCTACCAAAGCCATATTGAAGGGTAATGGCAAAGAATTTTTGGGACGAGTTATATTCATCGACTGGGCTCTTGGAAAAGATGAATATCTGGCAAAGAAGCAACAAAATGTAAAAGAAGAACCCGAGGAAAAGAAACCAAAATTGGAGATTAAAGAAGAGGAAGAAGATGACAAGAAATCTGGAAATGTTAATGCAAATAGTGAAAATGATGAAGATGACGACGATGAAGAGAGCAATGATGATGACGATGATGACAATGGGGAAAGTGAAGAGGTATGTTGTCTTGGCAATTCTATTTCATTAATAATTCCTTATATAAATAATTTTAGGAAGATTCTGACGAGGGCGATGAAGATGATTCCAATGATGAAGATGACGACGACGATGATAAGAACAGTATTGATGATGTAGATGAAGATGACGATGATGAAGACAAAAAAGACATTAAATCAAAAGTAGATATCGAAAAAGTAAAAAAGGAAAAACGTGTCTCAAATGATGTCCAAGAAGGTTGCACTGTTTTTATAAAAAATGTTCCCTTTGATGCCGAAGATGTAGATTTGCGAAAAGTTTGTCGAAAATTTGGTCCCGTTTGGTACGCCATTATCAATAGAGAATCTGTATCGGGTCACTCTAAAGGCACGGCGTTTGTTAAATTTAAAACCAAGGAATCGGCCGACTTATGTTTGCAGTCAGCGGCGGAATTCGTTCTGATGGACCAAGTATTGGAACCATATCCAGCTTTGAGTAGAGAAGAAATTCGCCAACAGAACCTGGAAAAGGATAAGAAGAATGATGGCAAAGATTCACGTAATCTATATTTGGCAAGAGAAGGTCTAATTATGGCAAATTCAAAAGCTGCCGAAGGTGTTTCTGCATCTGATATGAACAAGAGGCACAAACTGGAACAGATTAAGGCACAAGTTTTGAAAAATCTAAATAGGTATGTGTTTGAAGCAGTGCATATTTGAATTGTGTTTAATCGTATTTCATCTTTCATTTAGATTTGTGTCCCGCAATCGTTTGTCTATCCACAACTTACCCCTGAACTATGATAATGATAATTTGAGAGATATGATAATTGCCTATACCGGATTTAAACCACATGAATGCAGGGTCATGAGGGAAAACAAAATAACCCCAGATCATCCAAAGGGAAAGTCCAAGGGATTTGGTTTTATGTCTTTTAATACACATCTGGAGGCATTGACAGCATTAAGGAAACTCAATAATAATCCAAAAGTATTTGGTACCCAACATGTAAGACTTTCATTCAAATTTTATTTTTTTCCAAAATAATTACAAGATTTTGCATCTTTACAGCGTCCTATTGTTGCCTTTAGTATAGAAGATCGTGCAGTTCACAAAGTCAAGGAAAAACGCAAAGAAAGATCCAAAATTAACAATCCCACATTTAAGGAAAAGCTGGAACAACGCAAAGCCTTAAAGAATGATAAAAAATCAGGAAAACTACCATTGAAAACATTGCCCAAAGGACCACAAGACGATGACAAAGAGAAACTCAAGAAACACATAAAAAAATTGGAAGAGAGTCGTGCCAAAAAGAATAATAAAAATAAGACTAAAAACCCCGAAGCAGCCGCAACAGATGAATTTGTGGGCACTGAAGCTAAGAAGGGTACCGTTCTGCGTATGCGTTCCTTTAAGAAACTAAAAGAACAGTCAGCCGATCATATGCAGCGAGTGAAACAAGAAAAGAAGAAGAAGAAACAAGAGAAAATCAAACAAATTCATTTGGCCGAGAGAAAGGCGGAAATACGACCAAAACAAGGACGTAAAGTTGAGAAAGATGATTTGGCACCATTGGTTAATAAGTACAAGCAAATGCTTGAGAAGCAGGCAAATCCAAATTTAATGAATTCGGGTAAAAAATCCAAGCGTACCAAGTGGTATACGGAATAGGAAAAGTGAGAAACAGAAGTTGAACTTTTTAGTCGTATTTTTAGTACATAATTTAATTGTTTGTTTTATGTAAATACAAATGAAATAAATATTAGCTATATAATATGTAATAATGATTTGTGTTATTGCTAGATATTAACAATGCTTATAGCATAAATAAACATAGACAACGGAATGATGGTTTGGTTTTTTTGTATTCCGTCTAAGATTGCATATAAGCTAGGAAACTTTAATTTTAAATATAAAAAAATTAATTAATAATATTTATTTGTGATTATGAAAATGAATTTAAGTTCTAACTAGTTACTTTTTGCAAGATCTACTAACATGTCACACAGTATGTGAATTAATGAAAATATTACCGATTTGCATGTCAAAATTTTATTGTCTCATATTTCGCCATATCTAGTTGTTTTTTTATACCCTCCACCATAGTATGGAGGGTATATTAAGTTTGTCATTCCGTTTGTAACACCTCGAAATATACATTTTAGACCCCACAAAGTAGTTATATTCTTGATCAGCATAAAATTCTATGTCGATTTAGCGATGTCCGTCTGCCCGTCTGTGGGCGTCACTCTAGCTTCCGAACGAGATAAAGTAGGTTGATAAAATTTTACTCAAATGTATATTATGTCTGCAGGACTATTGGTATTGAAAATGGGCCATGTAGGTCCACGTTTTGGTATAGCCCCCATATAACGGCACCTCCCGATACTGGGTACTTTGTTGATTTTAGCGACATTATTCACCGGAATTGTTTCAAATTTGGTATTTGAATTTCGTAATGGATACTACAGTGCAGGTCGACGTCTTCGTATAGCCCCCATATAACGGTACCTTCCGATATTTGGTATTTTAACGATTTTAGCGACATTATTCACCGGAATTAATAAAGTTAATGTATACTGCAGCCTAAGGCAGAAAATTGTCTATGCCACATTTCGGTATAGCCTATAGTTCACACATCATATATTGGTTGCTTCTGATCTTTTTCTGACTGAATTCAATCGCATTTATCACCAATTTTTAAAAATGAAAAATATTTATTTTGAAGTCAGACCAAACTATATGGAGGGGAGGGTACATTAGCATTGTTATACCGTTTGTAACTCTTCGAAATATTCATGATCGACCCTACAAAGTATATATATTCTGGATCAGCGTAAAATTCTAAGACGATTTAGCTAGTACGTCTGTTGTAATCACGCTATCTTTCGAACTAAAAATCCGCACACATGTGTATTTTGTCAGTAGGCACGTTAAGTTCGTAAATAGGACATGTCGGTCCACGTTTTTGGGTAGCCCCCATATAACTGTACCTCCCGATATACGGTATTTTGAATATTTTAGCGACATTATTCACCCGAATTCCTTTAAATTTCGTATTCGAAGTTTGTAGTGGGTGTTACAGCCTATGCCTAAAATTACGTATGCAGGACCACGTCTTCGTATAACCCTCATATTAAGGTACTTGTTGATATTAGATATTTTCACATATATTAGGGACATTATTCAACGGAGTTGTTTCAAAGTTCGTAACGGGCACTTCAGCCTATGCCTAAAAATGTCTTATGTAGGTCCTCGTATAGCCCCTATATAACGGTACCTCACTTTATTCGGTATTTTGATGATTTGGTGGAGGGTATTAAAAGTTCGGCTCGGCCGAACTTAGCTTTTTTTACTTGTTACATTTCAAATCTCTTCACAATAACATATATTGAAGTCAGTCGGACATCTTTTTTGTTATATTCATAAGTTATGGAATTATTAAATCATTATCATTAAATGTAAAATCAATGATCAGTAGTGTTTCCAAAAAATGTATCATTTCTCGTTTCTTTACCATATCTTATGAGATACAAAATGAATATTGAATGTACAGTATTTTAAACTTAAAATCAATCAATTTAAGTTATTACAACATATTATCTTAATTATTTATTTCGAAATTTGTATTAATTATAGGATAAATTTTCAATACATTCCATATCCAATTTGCCTTTATGGATTCTGAGAAAAGACCATATAACTAATAACACCAGGTAAGTTGTGAATCCTCGTATATTCGCATATGTTATCATTTGTATTTACCTGGATGCATTTATGTTTGGAAAGTACTAAAATTGCTTATGACTTAATTGGAATTCCATGATGACTAGGTAAAAGAAAAATATATATGTTTTCCCTGGATTATAGAAAGATGTTCGGCCATTAGATTTTTCTTTGTATAAATTATGGAAGCTTGGTCATTATTGTTGTCATTGAAGAACTGTGCTTAGCACGAGTAACATCTTCAAGATTTAGAAACTGTGTTTTATTTGTTATTCTATAAGAAATGGCTCCACAAGAAAAAGTTGAATTTGTAATACTAAGATTGACCTTTTTGCCGTATGTGTAAGTTTCCAAAATGACAATGAAATTTGAATCTTTTGCACTTTCCATCTAACTAAAATGTATTTTTTTTGTTTTTAGACATCCCCAGTATCCTCGCATTACCCTGACCCACAAAAGACACTCCCCCAGTAGTTCAATGACGCAAGTTCGAGATTGGGTAAGTCAATAAATTAAAAAACATTATCTACAAAATATTAATTAATTCTTATTTAATATTTCCAGTTTGACCGAATAATGTCACGAGAAAAATCCAAAATTGATCCACGCATGACAATACGCTATTCTGAGTGGAATGTCACCTCGGGCAATGCAAGTTTATTTACCGTCAACGGCTATCGTTTTGATAAAATCCTTTTGGTATTAGGCGAAGAAGTTGTTCATTGGATCTTTTATCAAAATATGCCGCTACATCGGCGTATTGAAGGCTGTGGCCGTATATCGGTAAACTATTGTGGCTGTTGTCTAAACACACAATATTTGAAGATTATGGAAACCGTCAAAGGCTGTGTAATGCAGAAGGGTACATATTATTGACAACTGGACCAAAAATAAATAAACATTAGCAACAACGTCTAACGTAAAACGATTATATGTTTTAAAAAATACATATAAATAAAGACATTAAAAATATTAGTATTTTAAATACGTTAATTTTATTTCCTTTCTTCTAATTCATTTAAATGTTTTAACATATGTTCTTTAGTTACAAATAAGGATGTTTATCAGAATAATTAGCTTATTCCAACCAATGGAAACGGGCGCCATACTTGGCTGGTGCCTTGGGGTAATCATCGGGCAATCCAGGTGTAGCATCTGGATAGACACGCTTTTCTGGTTTGGGTGGTGCAGGACGATCAGTTGCATGGATCTGAAAATAATAAAAAAGTTATAATAATTCGATGATAAGCTCTTTGGGGAGTTGAATCAAAAATGTATTTTGTGTTACATTATTTCCGAAATGATAGGGAACTAAATGTAACAAGTAAAAAAGCTGTAAGTTCTGCCGGACCGATCTGTGAATAATGTAGCCAAAATTATCAAAATACCGGATATAGGGAGGTAACGTTATATTGGGACACAACAAATACGTGGACCTCCATTAAAAAATTTTGTCATAGGCTGTAGCAACCATTACGAACTAGAAATACGAAATTTAAAATAATTATGAAATAAAAATCATGAAAATACCGATCATCGGGAGGTACCATTATATGGGGGCTATGCGAAAACATGGACCGACATGACCCATTTACGAACTTATCCTGCCTACTGGTAAAACTATGCATGTATACAAAATTTTAGTCATATATCTTAATTCGGTCGAAAGATCGCTAGATCGTCTTAGAATTTTACGCTGATCCAGAATATATACACTTTCTAGGGTCTATTATGAATATTTCGAGGAGTTACAAACGGAATAATAAAGTTAATATACCTTCCATAGAATGGTGGAGTGTATAAAAACTAGATTTTTTGGAGCAGGGCAAAGAAAAACTAAATTTCGTCATTTAATTCCCCACATGATAGATATAGGAAAAATCATGAAAATACCGATTATTGGGGGGTACCGTTGTATGGGGGCTATGCGAAAACATGGACCGACATGACCCATTTACGAACTTAACCTGCCTACTGGTAAAACTATGCATGTATACAAAATTTTAGCCATATATCTTAATTCGTTGGAAAGATAGCGTGATTACAACACACAGACGGACATCGCTAGATCGTCTTAGAATTTTACGCTGATCCAGAATATATACACTTTCTAGGGTCTATTATGAATATTTCGAGGAATTATAAACGGAATAACAAAGTTAATATAACCTCCATAGAATAGTGGAGGGTATAAAAACTAGATTTTTTGAAGCAGGGCAAAGAAAAAATAATTTTCGGCATTTAATTCCCAACATTATAGATATAGGATTCATTGGAGTTCAGAGTTATAAGGAAACTGATAAGAAAATCTTGGAACATTTATGTTGAAAGGTACGTAAACAAAAAACTAGAGAGATTATTGTTGTAAAACAAATTGTAATGAAAAAGTTTAATGAAGAAACGATCTCGAAATTCCCATAAAAGAATCAGGAGACACCTGTACAAACTTAAGTTTTTTATTTTTGAAAACCTAGCAGGGTCTATATTTTTAATACCATGAAACGCCATTAAAAATTTCAGCAGTTTCAAGATTCTTGAACATTTAATAATATTCAATAACAACATGAGAATTAACTCATAAAATCCTGCAAAATGTGCACCCATACTTGTCCCTAGCGAAGGGTGAAGAACATTTTTATACCTGACACTCTTCCACTTTCCCTGTCGCAATTTTAATTACTGGAATATAGTTATTAGTAGAAGCTGTAAACAAGAGCAAATATTGCACCTTACACCCTATCAAGGCACTTTGAATACAACACTGTACTGGAACGATATTCTCACCTTAGCTCTAGTGAAATAACCATACTCTGGGCGATCAATATCCAAATTGTCCTTCATACATTTATCAAAAACGCCCTGTGTTTTGCGGCAGCTGAAAAACAAGAAAACCCAACAAATTATTTAAATATAACTAATAGTCACACAATGAACAACATACTGGCTAAATGACATGGTGCCACTTGATTTGTCCAAGCAAGTGGCATATTGCATGAATTCATCAGCGCAGCTCTTCTTGACTTTACGGAAGAAATCCAAAGCGCAACTGGTAACAGCTTTTCCCTCGTTCAAGCATGCCCTGGGGTCATCCAGTTCTTGGCGACATAACATGAATTCCTGAAAACACACAAAAATAAACAAATTGTTTATGTTGCCGTTTGTCCGTGTTGAGGTTAGGTAAGACAGAGACTCCAAAAAATTATATAACCTAGCGGTCATAATAATTGCTTAAATATCCTTTCCAAGGCATATTTCGACATTATTCCATTATCGCCTTGTGCTGCAGGACATACTCACATTATTCTGATGTTCACAGGCTTTGCCCAAGTGGAAAGCTCCGGCACGCAAGGCTGCTGTCGAAAGATTCACCTCGGGCACGGTTAATTCCTCTTCGGTAGGCAGTGTTACATTGTTGGTGACAACCATGTTTGGGCACTACACAACTTGATATCTGGGGGCAAGAACCAAGAGATATGTCATTAGAATGGTGGCTAATTGATTAAATTAACAATAAATAATTAACATTTTGTAAAATCTTTTACCCGAAATACCCGAAATTGAGAGAAAAGTTGCTACAAATGCTTCTTCTTTTTACCAGCTGTGTAACGTACAGCTGTTTTGCTGTCATAAATGTCAAAGCCAAAAGTACCCGATAGGCAATAGGTCTATACAGTGAAAATAACGAAATAAAATTCTGTTGAAAGAATTTGCACAAATAATCGAAAAAGATGCACATAATTCACAATTAGATTTTTTTTGAAACTTTGGAAATTAATACAGATCGTGGCCTTTTCTACGGAAATATGAAATGAAGAAATGTATATAGGAAATAAGTGTTAAAGCTAAGTTTTTTAAAGTCTATGACAAGAAGAAAGAAAGAAAGTAAATGCCAAAATACATAATGAGGAAAAAGACTTTGTAAAATATGTCCGAATACATGTGAACCGAATTGTAAAAAATTGTTCGACTGTTAAAACCCATATGTGGAATATAAATTTATAGCGTAAGCAATCACTGTGTTGGAAAATTTATTACCAGTTGAGTTTGCGAGTAAGCATGTTGGAATCTATTGGTATTTTTTGAACTGTCTTTTGATTGTATAATTGGAAAAATATAAAAAAATATATTTTTCTTTAAAATTTATATCGAACAAGAATTCCCCATTTCTCAAATCTTTTTTTTTTGCAATTTATTTTGTCAATTTTTACTGATAAATTACAGGATCCCATCTCTGATTTGTATGTATACAATGGATTTATGAATATTTATTAAGACAAAAAGATGTTTCAAATAAGACATATTTAATAAAATATTGGTCACATGATGCTCTGATGATACGCGTCCCGCAATGTACGTTTCTTCAAATCATTAATTTTAAAAATATTTTGTTTTTATTTTTCAAAACAATAAATACATACACAAACTTGGCACAAGTTGGCCACACTTAGAAAAAAATTGTAATCGGCTGGTAGGTCTACCGTACCTTCTGGTTGTACCATGAGCCCATTGTAGTATTAGGAAGACAACATGGTAGAAGAATATAGGTAGACGCATCGATACAGATACTGGGACAATGAACTGTCAAATCAATTTTGGAATTGAAAATGTTGAATAAAAAATTATTTAAATTTGTAAAAATTGTTGAAAAATGCGAATTATAAAAACCTCCGACTGACGTCGTATAAGAAAATATGTTTAAAAATCTACATATATTTCAATATACAAATCAATGTTCCCAAGCGTTGATGCATCTACCTGTATTCTTCTACCATTAAAGGTAATGTCAATTCACAAAAGAATATCACCACTCCATTTTCAGGAATTTATCTAGTCAATTTTCATCGAATAGAAAATATGTCTTCATCTCTGATTTGTGTGAATACAAGAGAACTATACGTATTCATTTTTACAATGAGATGTTGTCAAATGATTTTGAAAGAAACAATTTTAAACATATGATTTTACTTTTTCAATGCATGCAAAATGCATTGACATTTCTCTTTTTACTAAGTAAATATTGCCAGACAAGCCTTATAATTAAGCCGACACTGAACAAATCAGCTGTTTGTGGTCATTGTACCTTTCTATTTACATTTCAAAACATGTGTTAAATAATCAATTTTTAGGACAAAATAAGGAAAACATGACAGAAAAGGACACAAATGCAAATGAAGTCAAGCCCACGGGTCTCAAGGATGAATGGGCGGTAGGTCCAGTTTCATTATTCATTGATTATTTTCTCATGTTTCCACATTTTCAACAGATAAGGCCCTGTTCCGTTTACAAAGATGAATATGATGATTGCACCAGTTTTAAGGCTAGATTCCATCAATACTTTATACACGGAGAAAACACCGACTGTAGTCAATGGCAGACAGACTATAAAAACTGTGTAAAATATCAGGATTCCAATGGCAATGATGTTGCGGCCGGTGAGGCAGTTATTCGAAGTGAAGAAGAAAGACGTTTGAAACGTTTCCATGGTCATTATGGCAATACGGTTTGGCAGAAACGAAAAAGTCCACCGGAAGATTGGGCGGCGCCATTGCCCGAATGGATGGCAAAGAAAAATGAGAATTCCTACCTCCAGCTGAAACAAATGGAACTCGAGGGCCGAGCCGAACCCACAGAAACAAAATCTTATTGCATGATAATGTAGTAGTACAAGCAAAACTTGTTAGTAAATTTATTTGCAATTTATTACACCAGATATACCCTCTAAAGCTTTTATTCTTATTTTGAATAAGTTAAACTGGAATTAGACTAGCATGGACCTCTCCTATTTGTGTGAATTTATTTAATCTATGTGTTGATGTTCCATATCTTTTAAGATAGTTTTGGCTGAGGCCGGAGCACGACCTAGTTTATATAATACATTAAAATACAGCGATAGGCAGGATCGTCTAAATGAAAAAGACCTGTAATTTGAAAAACCGATTGGGATATATTATTGGCATTTTTACTAATTTGATTTGACTTACCACAGTGAATATTCAAAATACAACCTACGATATAACCATTTAAAATACCCCTTGACAGAATGATAATTTCTGTAAATACATTTTTGTGCATATTGTGCCATGACTTTGGGTCTATTTACAACGTCACCGTGCATACGTCCAATAGCTCGAACAGTATTTAAATTTCTAAAATTCATTTAAAGAAAATTTAATTAAATTGTTCATTAGTTTTCAAGATCGTATATTACCTAACAACGAACAACATATTCCTGGGCATTTCCTTTAAAGTTGACATAATCATTTCGAAGTTCTTTTGAGCAATTTGTTGCATATAGTTTATGTCATCTTTATTCAGCTTGGTTTTTATTGTGCCACCATGTATGCGTATTGGCTGCTGGAAAAGAACTTCAGCGAATTTCATATGATCTTTGATACCCAATTTATTGGCAGCTTTTTGCATGCTCTTTTCATCTCGCAACACAGTGGCTTCCCAAAATTCACACAGGTTATTTCTAATGTTTCCAGGTAATTCTTCATAGAGGCCATGATCGAGAAGAACAAGCTCCGCCTTGCCGCTGGGTGCTTTCCGTACAAAAACTGAAGATAATAAAAATATGCTTTCATGATTTTTATTTCTTTCATTTGGATTTCATTATTTGCTTACTGTTGCTGGCATGTGGATCAGCATGCACAAATCCAGTATTGAAGATTTGTTCTGAAAACATTTGAAACAGTTTTCTGTCGATGTCCTTTAGATTTAGTTTGGTTCTTTCCAACTTTTCAATATCACTAATTTTTATGCCATCTATCCATTCCAATGTTAATACCCTCTTCAATAAACAAAAATATAAAAATGTTCGAATAATAATAATGTTTCCTATACTTTACCGTTTTCGTATGTGTCCAATATACTTTGGGAATATGTACAAATTTTAGAATTTTCAAATCTTTGGCACAACGTTCCACATTCTTGCCTTCATTAATGAAATTCAATTCCTGGACCAAATTTTTCTTAACATCCCTTAGGATCCAGCCAAAATTATAGCTTTTAAAGAAAAACTCAACTATGTCATGCAAAATAATGATGGTTCCAAGATCGCTGACAAAACGTTTCTGCAAATCACTGTATTGTACCTAGAACATAGAAGAATATTACAATTTGGACTCAATTTCATTTCGTGTTAATTACCTTAACAGCAACTTGTTGTCCAGTTTCCAATTTGGCTTTGAAAACCTGGGCTATGCTGGCAGCAGCCACCGGCGTATAATCAAATTCTTGAAACAAATTCTCCGGATTGGTGCCGAAATCCTTTTGAAACACTTTCTGGACATCTTCCTTGGATGTGGGCAAACATTTGTCTTGAAGTTTTGCCAATGTACTTGTGTATTCCTTGGGCAAAATGTGATTGATTGCGGCAAAACCCTGACCCACCTTAATGTAAAGGCCACCATTTTTTAAGCACGTTTCCAATAGACGATCTGCACTCCGTTGATGCACCACTTTAAGGTTTTTCTCATATTCTGGATCCTCTTCATCCAACATAAAATAATCATACGATATCAGGCTGGCGGTTTTGAGGGAACGCATAAATCTTGTTGCTGCTCCAAAATATGTAAATTCATTTACCACTCCATCGTATAATAAGACACCTCCCAGAGTGCAGCCAATTCCAATAGATATGAATGGTACTTTCTTTACGGCTTTCGTTTGTCTGCTTGAGGGATGAAATTGCCTACGAGGCAATCGATATGTACTGAGGACACTCCGTACATGATTTACAAATAAAGTCTAGAATTTAAAAATATATTTTTATGGATATGGCTCTCCATGGAGTAATGTCTTTACCTTTCTTATCATCTTGCCAGTTTGAACGTCATTTGATGTAAATACTAGGTAAGGTTTTAATGGGCCTTGTAGTTTGGACTGCGGTCGCAATGTCAAACATGTCAAACAGCTGACTGTCACGAAGATTTTTTGTTGTTGCTGAACAACTGGTACGAAAATAAATAAATAGTAAACAAGAAATAAACACATCGATATGTCAAAAACATTTAAACAAATAATTTAAAAATAAATTGATTTTTAAATATTTTCTTGTAAAATGTTGTTCACGTGTTAATATGATATTTATTTTTCAACAATTGAAACTAATTTAAATAATTTTTCATTCAAAACTTTGAATTCCAAAAAATGTTTTGAAAGTTCATTACACCGCCAGCTGTGTTAATGCGATTAGCTGAATTATTTTGCTAAGTAAACAAGGCAGATGTATTAGGTAGTGGCATATAATATTGATTTTTATAAAATTAAATTAAAAATGGTTTGTTAATTGAAATTTATTTCAAAATGTTTAAACATATATATTTTTTAAATTATGTTGTATAACTTTGACATTTATTGGACCAACACATGACCAACATGGTAGAATTAAGAAGGTAAAGTCATTTCAAATAAGCATTGCCATTTTTGCATATTCTGTTATTTAGCTTGTCAAATTTCACTGCATAGAAAGCAGTATCCCATCTATGATTTGTGTATGTACAAAACGAACACTTTGACAGTAAAATTTTGTCAAATGAATAATTTTGAAAAAAATTAAATACATGTTAAGGTCCTGCAATTAAACGTTTACACTTTTTTCAAAATTATTCTTTTGACAAAATCTTATTGTCGAAATTTTTATTAATAAATACCTTATATACACCGAAATCAGAGATTAGAATCTGTTTTTTATTTAGTGAAATTTGACAAGGCAAATGACAGAAAATGCAGAAATGGATAGTCTTATTTGACTTTACGACTTTAACTTCTTTACTTTACGATGGTTTTCCTTTGTAGCAAATTATATTCTTGAAAGCAATTTTAAACATCTTTATTTCGGAAATCGCAAGTCTAATTTTTTAGTTCATTTTTGCGTTCTTTCTATCCTTTTATGGCAGACAAATAGTTATGTTTGGACCAATCAGCTAATTGCTTGCTAGTTTTTGCAGGTTAATCTCATTTCCAATATTTATCTGCAGCTCTGCATTTTTCTGTAATTTAACTTGTCAAATATAACTTAATTGAAATCAGTTTCCCTTTCACATTAATGTATCTACAAAGGATTGACGATGAGTTGTTGAACAAATTGCAAACATATGAGTGCATGATGTTAATGTAACCAGACAGACCTATTGCTGATGCGAGTACCTAATACATCTGCCTTGATTCCAAATGTTTGTTTATATTTGTTGATTTGTGACATTGTAGTATTAGGAGGCCATAAATAAAAAAAAAAATGTTAAAAACAATTAGTTTAAGAGCAACGCAATGCAGCTATTTGTGCATTTCTAGTCAAAAAATGTAAGTTTCGTTCATAAGATTTGAAGATGATGTCTAATATTTACATTGCGTAACCCAGACAAAGAATGTGACCATTCAGTGTCAAGGTTAAGAGGAAGTACCGAAATGATAAGAGGAAGTGTTGGAAATATTAAATATAGAATTTAAATGTTGCTTTCCGTTTTCCAGTATCACAAGGGGATATGTGCAACAACACCAGACAAGACTGTTTAACATTGGCAACATTGTCAAGCGACAGCGGGGTTATGAGAAAAAGGAGCTATTGGGGTAAGTTTGGTTTGTGCTTTTGTGTGACATTCTTTTCCAACTAATGTTTCGTTTACCTTTTTATAGATATTCTATGCAGGAAATGTACTCTGTGGTTTCAGATGTCACAAACTATCAACAGTTTGTGCCCTATGTCAAAAAGTCCCATGTCCATAGCAAACATAACGATGGCTTTAAGGCTGATCTAATTGTGGGTTTCCCACCACTACATGAAATATATACCTCAAATGTTACACTGAAAAGTCCCACCCTTGTCACATCCGAATGCAAAGATGGACGCTTGTTTGATTATCTACTCAACGAATGGCGTTTCAGTCCAGGCCTCAAGGATATACCACAGTCCTGTCTATTAGATTTTAAAGTACATTTTCAATTCAAGTCGTTGCTACACAGTAATATTGCCAATTTATTTTTCGATTTAATTTGTGATCAAATGGAGCAGGCATTTGTGGCCGAGGCGAAAAGACGTTATGGTGAAGCATCCATAAAATCGCATATTTTATCATCCAAACGATCCTGACCTTCACCGGGGGAAGGAGGTGAAAAACAATAATTAGTATGTGTTTTTTTGTTATTAGAGGACATTAGTTTGTAGGAACCAATTGACATTTGAATGAAATGCTAAAGATTTTGTTAATTGTAAGTTGAAAAAGAGGCAAATGTGACTCGGAAACCAAAAGATTATTATATAAAACGATATACTTTTCGAAAAAAATATCTTTGTGAAACAATTGTATATATACTTTAACTTTTATATCTCTATATATGTAGTACATTTTTTAATAAATAAAATAAGATATTATTTGACGTTATGAAAAATCTGCTTGATGTAATTTCTTATACAACAAGTTAAAATGTATCAATCGGTTCTACAGACAGACTAATACCCTCAGCCATTGTTCGATTACTTAAATATATTTTGACTTCTGTTATGTTTATTGAAACTGTTGATCCTCTATGGAGTGGCTTCTGCGGGAATGGGATAATATTGTCTATTTCGTATCGGACCTAAATAAATACGATAGAAATATTAAAAAATTATAAGAAAATCGAACGTTTACATCCAATTTATGGGAAATCATAAATTCCATATTCATCTGAGGTTTCTGGTTGAGTGAATTATTTAGATATAGCAAGTTGTTAAGAATCGCATACTTGTTTTGCAAGTTATGACAGATAAAAGTACTGAATATTGTAACCCTTTGTGGGCGAGGTACCAGAAGGGGTTCGCAGATATATATCTTCTCCACACCACATCTTGTATTAGCAAAAATGTTTGTATGTGTGAAATGTATATCATATTTATTTAAGTCCGATACGAAATGAACAATATTGTCCCATTCCTTCGGAACCTATTCTACACATGTCAAAATTTATTCGAATAATCAAACATCTGTCGGCAAAAGCGAATGATATTTTTTAAATTGTTTGTAAAGATTTTGATTGATGTGGAAAACCTTAAGGAGCAGTAGTGGGATTCTTTAAAAGATTTTTTGATTTAGCGACAGATATCTGTGAAATTAAAACGAAAATTAAGAATTTATTGCTATGGGACTTTATTTTGGTCGCTAACTTGCTGAATGTTCTCTTCAATTAAGGAAATAATAAGTATTTTAATTTTACCGGATTTTTTACTGTAAAGAATCTCATTACATATAAAACAATGTCGTATGTTGTTGCAGTTTTTTATACTTTTTTTGTTGCTGCCTTCTCTTCTAAACAAACATGCAATATTGACATTTTATGTCTTAGAAAACTTACCTCCCTTTTTCATTATTACTCACCTCTTTTAGAATAAGTAAAAAAGGAGACCCCTTTTATTTTAGATTTCCTTAGAAAATTCGTTACTTATCATTTTATTGACCTAAATGTCTACAAAATTGTTTTCATTTTTTTTTATTTTCTTTTGTTATGTTGTTATTGTTCTAAAATTCCTTATATGTTATCATTCTATATCTATTAATTTAGTTTTTTTTAATGGTTTATTATCTTTGTTTTTTTTTGTTTGTGGTAAAAGAAGTTGATGTAATTGTTTGTTTTTAACGTTAACTACTGAAACGTTTTGTAACTACAATAAAAACTACACAGCATTTAACAATTAATATTTTTTCTTCGTTTTATAAGGATTTGTTTTTTAATGTTTTGATGACGATTTTTTTTTTTGGTATAAGAGAACAAAAGATATGAATAAATGTGTGTAAAAGAAGTACCAAGCCTTTGTAATGTAAAGATATTCTTTAGGTTAATAGCTGACTGAGCTTTGGGAAAGCACTAGGTGATACTGTGAAAATACAGTTAATTATAGTTTGGTATTAAGTGGATTACAATGCAACACATTACACCACTTTCTTGGATTTTTTTATGGGGAGTTTTAAAAATTTGCAATTCACATACGCTAGGGAGAGAATGATGGAGGACATTTTTGGATATGCTAAGAAGATATGTATATTAGATTTGATTTTATGAAAAAAAAAACTGCCAATGAAGGGGCATGGATCATATTTATTGCAACTTTTTAAGGCGACCATGACCTCCTCCCTGTAAAAAAATGTTGGATTGCAAATTTATAAAAACAAAATAATCAATAAAATTAGAAAATGTATATTTTTATCTCATCAGAATTCTCTAAGAATCTTTTCTTGGCATTGGATATATTAAATAATAATCAAAGTTATAATGGTTTAAAATATATAAAAAATCTCATCAAAGAAGAAGTTTCCCGTGTTTTTTTTATTAAAAACTAATTTTACTTTAGAAACTAATAAAAAACTTTTCAATATTGATTTTTTACCAAAAAACTATTTGTTGTCCCTTTTTAGGAATTATGAAAATTAAATGGAAGAGATAGCTAAGATCCTCAACATGTGATGGATGTATTGAAATCAGTTAAGATCAAAATATGTCTCCTTATCTCAAATAGTTTTGCCTATAAGACGTTGCAGCCATGGAAATATTAGTCTCCTGCTCAAGTCAGAATTCGATGTCGCGTTTTGGACATTAAAATCTGTTAAGATCAAAAAATTGTTCGTTATTCAAAATAGTTTTGCCCAAAAGACCCAGTATAGGATAGTTCTTTGGTCCTGCACTTCGTTACGACATTCTTGTCTCCATCACCAAGTCTGAACTCGATGTCACGTTGGCAGCTTCAATATCCTTATTATGGGATGGATTAACTGAAATCTGTTCAGATCGAAATGTGTTTTCTTATCTTAAGCAGCTTTGCCCATTTGACAGTATTTTGGCCCTGCGCTTCGTTGTGACATTTTTGTCTTCTTCACTAAGCCCGAACTCGACGTCACTTTGGCAGCTTCAATATCCTTAACATGGGATGGATTATCTCTGCTCCTAAGATTTAGTTAAGAATAGTACTTTGGACTTACATTTCGTTCCGATATTGTGTTTCTTTCAATAAGTCTGATCGCGACGTCGTTGTAGTGTGTTTGATTCATCCATGTTGCCATACCTTCCGTATGACAACGTATCATACTGGTTTACATATTTGTCCAAGTTGGCATACCTTCTGTATCCAACTAATAGTATGCTTTTACTCAAGTTACAATACATTCAGTATGTAACTTTACACCCTCACTTTATTGAGGTATGTTGTCCGCACTGCTCCGAGATAGTAAGCGTGCATTATGCTTACTAAGCGTTTTCCCACGCTCACTTTATTCTTCATTTACCTTAAGTTAATTTTTGTAAGATAATATTATTTCAGTTCTAATTTAAATAAAGCAAGGTGAAGTCGCTTTTAGCGGCTTCCAATATAAAATAAAACTTATTTCATTTCATGGCGATCCTGCCAAACAAAAAAAAAACTTTAAAATCTACAAAAGTGGTGCACCGTGTATAATGTGATTTCGGATAATCTATATATATTAAACGCTTAAACTATGGACCAGCAACACAGACCGTGCCAGCTCGTAAATTATAAATAGAAAAAAGAAAGAAAAATGCCTCGGGTTTGCTAAAAAAAGACAAAGAAACAATTGATTTGATTAATGATCCTTGTTTAAGTATCAATCGAAAAAGGATTTAACAACAACAACAACTATATGTGAAATTCAAACAAACAAACCAAAAAAAAAAATGATTTACAAAAAGATGAATGCCAAAAAAGAAAAGAAAAAAAAATGAATCATTTGAATATGAGAAAGCAGAAGAAAACTTTGCTCAGATAATATCAAACAAAACATAAAAAAAAATCTTCAAAAAACAACGAGAAAAAAAAACCTAAAAACAACACAAGGAAAAAATAAGAAAAAAAAAACGATTTTTTTTGCTAGTTGAAACAAGATAAAAAATTGAAAAAAAGTAAATTCAAACACAAAACAAACAACTTTAAAAAATCCACAAAAAATCGTAATATGCCATTTAAAAAATAACTTAAAAATGCAACAAAAAACCAATACAAGGTTAAAATATATTTTTTTTAAATACAACAACAAAAAAAGAAAAACGTTGACATAATAAAACAAAAGCTGCATGTGACTGATTCTGACATTCTCTATTGTGAACAACAACTATCAGCGAAACACCACATAAACAAACGGGGTCTTGAGATTTCCGAATACACGTATGTGCAGAAGCCAGTATTGAATGAAAAGTTAAAAGAGAACAAAAAGGAGCTGTACACTTTCACTCTCCCAATCTTCTGTCTCTCATCGAGAACAACAGAATTGAAATTAATCCAAAAAAAAAAGCAGATGAAAGGACGAAATTGGCGAAATTGGCGAAGGAAGAACAGTGAAAAAGTAGAGAAAAGGAAAGCGTTCGTCTTCATATTCCATATATTGCAGATAATTTTTACAAACAAATACCATAATGCCAGAAATTCGCAAATGCTGTATTGTGGGATGCCTGTCGAGTTCTCGAAGAAATACACCAACAATATGAAAATCTATATCTAAGAAAATAAACAAAACAAACAAGCAACTACAATAACAGGTAACCCCCTTTTGTTTTTAAGAAGTGCAACAAGGATAATATCGACCACCCACACTAGCAGAAAAATAATGTCCCCTTAAAATTATTATTGTTAAATATTAACTTAACACAACAGCAACACACATTTTAGTTCTAGTATTAACCAAAAAACTGCAACAACAACCCCTATACATTATTAAATGCAAATAATTAAAACAAAACTATTATATTTATATAGTATATACCACGACAACAAAGGCAAACTATATAAAAAAAAAAAACAACATTTAAATATTTATTGTTTCCATTCTGTTTTTGTTTACATGCAATATTTTTGGCGGTGCCTCCGAATTTGATAACATATAATCGGGGATACTTGAATTGATTAATTACATTCAGACAAATTCAACTCAAACATAAATATCATCAAATCTATAAAATCTTTATCAGCTTGGTTTTACATTGTTAAACAATGGGTGGCTCAGAATCTAAAATAGACAAACCGAATGCCAATGTAGTAAATGACATTGTGCTTAAGGTTGAGCATCCTACTATTTACTTTATTATAATTATCGCTTTACTAGCCGCGCAACTACTGGTAACACTTTACCAGTTGCATAAAAGGGCATTGCGAAAAAATTATATCAGGGCTGCTTCAGTCGGAAACGGTCTTGATAAGGTTTAAACTGTGATTATTATTCTTTGCTGAAAAAAATTTATATTTTGTTTATTTTGGCTGGTTTGTATATATTCAAGCACTAAAAATAATATATACTTCATTTCATTTCTTTGATTGTCGCCCTAACCATGTTAAAATCCAGTACCCCACATGGACTGGATAGAAATACTCGCAAGGGCAAGAGCACTCAAAGAAAACAAATTTAACAAATCATACAAATGTTTAACG